TCTATCGCTGTTTGAAAGTACACAGTTTCATCGACTTATTCCTCGCGAAGCAGAGGTTTATAAATTTGTCCCGCGCAGATCGCACATAAGAGAAACATTGGAACCTTTAAAGTACTTTAATATTTAAAAAAAGTTTTGCGGTAATTGTTGTGAGTGATTTAAGAAAAGTGATTTCCAAACAATCGCCACCCTCGAATCAACGCCGCCCTCGTATAACCACCGCGGCGTTTAATCGAATAAATACGGTAGTTATAATTAGGAGTACATGACAGGTAAAGGGAAAACTTGTTCACGTGCTACAGATTCGTATTTACTGTTTGCCGTAAATGCGACTATAAGTAAATCTCTCCATTGTGATATATCACAGGCAACCATCACATTTAATCAGGATTACATACATAAATAGAAACAAAGTTACTCTTTGAGGCGAATATTTGTTGTGTTGATACATATCATGAGTGACAAATTATTCCTTACTTTTGGCGTGAAATTTTAGCGTAAATTTATAATTTCACAAACAAAATTTATAAAACTGGCATGGCAACCTTTCGTATGTCTCAGTGCCAAGATGGCGACGAAGTTTTAAAATGTTATGCATGAAGATGTCAGGGCATAAAAAGACGCTCTACAAAGCCTAAACACAAAGGAGCACATCAAGAACACATCTATCAGGTATTTTGTCGAAAAATTCTGAAATTCTGCACCCAGTTAAGCCAAATTTAAAGCTCTAAACTTGTTAACGCATGGAGGTGTACGATGATTCCATCAACATGTCAAAATCCCACTATTGTGGGCGTAACTTGTCACCTATGATATTGATAGGTAAATAATATACTCATGAAATTAGGGAATATTTTTCGTTTGCATTTTGTCCAATTTTAAGGATTGGTTACACATACGAAGAGTTCATTTTACAGTTAAGTTTCAAAATAAGGTCAACTTCAGCTTCACGTTCACTCAAAGGCTATGACACTAAGCCCGCAGCTATAACCTATAAAATGGTCTATTGTTTCATGGCGGCCATTTTGAAAACCTGAATATTGTTTGAAGACTGGAACCGAGAATCTACGTGACCAGGGACGGCCGTAAAACTTGAGAAATAGCCGAACAATACACGGGAATCTGATCGCGCGCCTGCAGCAATAAACCTTTTCAATTAACGAAAAATAAATCTCTCTTGAGTTTGGTTATAAACGGCTAGTACGAGCCCTTTGCGATGACTTCTACTTTCCAGACATGTGACGGCATAATTTATGCTGATAATGACCGCCAAAAGACCCATCACTAAGGTTGACGAGTGGGCGCATTGTTTGTTGTAATTAACATGGTCTTTTTCATATTTCAGAAATTACGTCTGTGTGGAGGCATGAGGAAACACTGAAAAAAGTTGGCTCTCAAAACACGCCAAATGTTAAAATGCACGTTTATTTTTTTACCAATGATCACACAATTGTAAAACCAGGAAGACCACCTTCTTTAAAAAAGTTAAAAATGGTGTGTTGGGTGACGTTTAAGGATCTTAGACAGGTTTTGCATGTACAAATAGCACAATAAACGGTTCCTTTTTTGTCGTTCGGTCTGGTGTTTTTGCTAGGTTAGATTTCGATAAGTTCCTCTTTTAAATAATAGATCGTTTACGTTGTTCATTAACCTATTTAGATAAGGTTGTCAAGAAAAAAGCGCAAAAGTGCACGCGACCTGGGCCGGAATTGATTAAAGAATTTTAATATGCGAAATATATGGATTAGATATATCAAATTGGGGTCATAATTGCCACAGCCATAGGTTTCTGAAATCCCTTGACCTTGCCGGACAAATGTAAAATTTCCATGACCAACTGAATTGACATTTTGCTGAACTCTGCAACCCTATTTCATATATTGACGATCTAAGATGGAGGCGAGTCTTATAGGATATAGTAGCAGCTATTTCGTTATGTCACCGAGACAGCTAAGGACTGCGTCGGGGAAGGGGGGCAACAACAACAACAACAACAACAACAACACTTTATTTCACCCCATAATATACAAGAAATAAAAATTTATAACAATAGTACAGACGATGCTAGGGGCGCTGGCTGCCCGAAATAACCTAAGAGTTAAAAATGCCAGGCAGCCAGTTAAAAGAAAAGATGTTTAAATGTTTAGGTCAGGGACACAAGAACAAAGAAAACAGAGAAACACACGCAAATAGTTAAGTAAACTACCAGTATATAAAGAGACTAAAATTCATACATTGCAAAACAGTATTATTTGCAGGGCCCGGTTGCATAAAACGCCGTAACAGTTATGGGTATACGTACGTGTACTCGTAACTTGAGTGAGTTTGCATTTAATCACTCAAGTGGTTCACTTAGGGATTTCACTTAAGTGATTGCACTTACGATTTTCGTAAGAATCCACTTTAGTGTCATTTATGCAACAGAAATACTCACCAAAAAGTTATGTCGTAAATTTTCGTGCGCAAATTAGTTCTAGCCAATCAGAGGAGCGAACGGTGGTTTTCACACGTGAAAAAAATGATACGTCCAATCAGAAGCCACAGAGGTGTGCGAGTTTCGCGCCAAACTTCCCGCCTTTTATTGCAGCTTGCAGCGCCGCTTCGCACACATTCAACGAGAAAAGTTTACTCAAAGAGTTTTTCTCCCGAAAAAAGTGAAAAACACTTCGGAAATGGAGTGGAATAGTTTCGTTTGTTTCACTGTCGATGAAGGAAACGGTAGCTAGAGAGCCGGCAAAACAACAGCGGAAAGGGAAAAACAGAACGAGACGTAAGCTTTTGTTGTGGTTTTTGTCGGAGCTACTTTGTCTTTCATTTAAGCTTAAGCTTATATTGAAACCGGCCATTTTACTTAAATTTACTCATTTTCAATTGTGCGTGGAGAACAAACAGTTAAGATTACTTATAGTTCTTGGATTACCTCATATCCTTACCGTCATTTATGTTTTTAACAAACGTTTTCACTAAAAAGCTGATACTTAAAAATAAAAAGGCCCCCAAAATGATAAATGTCTCATTATGTATATAATAAACACAATGCTACATGGAAAGTGATTTGTACGGTATTTACGCACTCGTTGTTTTTGTATCAGAAATCTTAGTCGTTCGCTGCGCTCACTCGTTCGATTTCTGATACGTTAACAACTCGTGCGTAAATACTGTACGCCAGCACTTTCCATGAAGTATTCTCTATTTTTACAGGAAAAATAGCACGTAAATGTACGGGACCCATGTGGGTCCAGTATCCTTATAGTCTGCTACACAGCCGTTTTCAGAGTCGTCACGCAACGCTCCTCCCCACTAACGGCTGCTGAAAACCGAACTACATTCCTTTCCCGTGATTAGCCAATTATAATTCAGCTCCCATTTTCTGGAAGGTGTTCGCGCCACGTTTGCGGTACTGTGACTCCTCCAATCACAGCTTTGCTTTTATCGGTGCCCCATGTGTGAATGACAGAATAATCAAAATCGTCGCGTGAAAACAAGCAATTAACTACAGTAGTGTTGTCGTATTCGAGTCCTATTCAAAATCTAGGAGATATGGGGCAGCAGCAAGCAAGTCGAGCAAATTGCGATGCACAACATGGACGTGCTCATAAAGTTGCGAGGTATAGTTTCGGGAAATCCCTCATCGATAATTTATAAGATTGCTTTTTGAACCAGTATCCTTGAGAGTTTAGTTTAGTCTTCACAGGAACACAATGAGCACATCCGGCACATTAAATTCTTCACTACATATCAGTACATATGCACGTTAAATGAAGAACCAACCGATCCTGGTAGAAGTCTTCTAAGCCTATCAAACAAACTTTTTTGCGAATTAACCTTTTCGTTGCTTGCAAAAACAGAGCCCGTCTAAGACCCTGTTTACATGGAGTGGGGGAGCCCGGTCTAGTGGGGTAGGTTTCTTTTGTTTTGTTTCCCCCAGAGCGTGAAAACAAAAGAAACCAACCCCACTAGACCGGGGTACCCACTCCATGTAAACTAGCCCTAAATTCAGCGACGATTGATTGATCTGTCGAAAACTGAGAAGCGTGCTCGCTTCCTAGCGCCCTGCGGCTCACGTATTGTTAAATTTCTTATACATGATTGTCTTGTTCGTTAGAACACAAACACAAAGGGAAAGGAAAGTAGTTCGGTTTTCAGCAGCCGTTTGTGAGGAGGGGGGGGAGAGTGTTGGGTGACGACACTAAAAACGGCTGTGCAGCAGACTAGTATCCTTACTGTTTTTACTATAATTAAATAAGCCTGAAAAAAATTCAGGCTTGTAGGGAATTCTAACCCTTGACCTCTGCGATACCGGTGCATCGCTCTACCAATTAAGCTAACAAGCCAACGGGGAGCAGGTCGTTGAATTGATTCGTTATAAACTCGCGAAAGGATGATGATTTTTTTTTCAGGCTTTCTTTTCGCAACTGCAAAAGTTGCTTGTATAACTGCGATGATCATACTTGATTTAATTCTTCACTCCGCAGTTCATATATATGATTTTCATATATTCATAACTTCATCATCATCCTTTCACGGGTTTATAACGAACCAATTCAACGACATGCTACCAGTTGGCTTGTTAGCTTAATTGGTAGAGCGATGCACCGGCATCGCAAGGTCAAGGGTTCGAACCCCGTACAAGCCTGAATTTTTTTCAGGCTTTCTTTTCGCAACTGCAAAAGTTGCGTGTATAACTGCGATGACTTTATCTAATTCTTCACTCCGCAGTTCACATATATGATTTTCATATATTCATAACTTCATGCTTTTACTATAGTTAACGAGGTCTTCTACTGAGAGGTGAAAAAATAGTTTATTTACGTAATTCCGTTCTAATTCGCTTTGTTAACCTCTGATGTTCACTTTATTTGAAGCCGTCCTTGAGAAAAAAGTAGAACACGCAACAAACATTATTAGTAAATATTGCAGTAAAATAACGATGGCATACAAACGTATTTCAACAAAAGTCATCGGACTTGATGAGTTGCACTCATAGGATATTCGGTAAAATGTCAATCTTCTTTGCTGAATGATCTGAAAATAGTTAAAAATTGTCATCAGCTTCAATGGATCCTAAGGATTCTGAAAAAAACGAACGAACAAATTTCTCGCGTTTTTGTCGACCCTCATCAGTTTTATTGATGTCGCCTTGGTACCCTTCATCATCATTGCTGCTGTCGCCCGTAGCTTCCTCTTCATCATCGTTTAGAGGAAATTTATTTCTGAAAGAAATAAATGGTTTTATGCTTAATGTGACTGATGAATCTGTCATTTCTCCAGCCACTGGGGAGGGGGGCGTTCCTGCCATCCTGGACATTATATATGTGTTTTTATGACATGAAATCGACGCACAAGGCCTCTCTGCTCACTGCAACAAGAAAGTTGGAAAACAGTTTTCCCTCCTTTTCCTCCCGTTTTGCTCCACTTTCATCTCCCGGATGGCGGGTGTGCCCTCACCTTTGCTGGGATAAATCTTCTTGTGTATCTGGACTTTCCTAGCTTGATGTGTGTAAATGAAATAAACGGCCACTCTTGTGGCCAAATTTATCCCAAACTGGAATTGTCATTATTGGGTATCCCAGCAGACAGAGCTCACCCAAAGCGAGACTCCACCAACAGTAATAACCAACTCAATAATACTATCTAAAGGAACATGGAGCATAAAAAAACATTTCTACATTTCCAGGATGTCAATAAAACGGAATTCTTCAGATGAACAAGGCTCTAACCCCAGAAAACGAGCGACGAATTTTAAGACGGATGAAGTCATATTTTTTCTCCATGAGTTAAAAAAGAGAAAGATGACTCTATTCGGTACTTTATCCCCTACACCGACATTCAAATTGAAAATGCAAACATGGTTGGAGGTTCGTAACCAGTTAGTAGACGCTGGGTTTCCATCAAGAACCAACTTAACAAGAAATGGGAGGAATGGTCATCAGCCACTAAAGCCAAATACGCCCATGAAAGAAGACTGGGGGTGGTGCAATAAAGTGGACTGACGTTGACGAGCTAATCACCGAGATACTCGGAAGAGAAAACATCTCCCTCGTATCTATAGTTGGCGGAATAGACTCTGGGGATAAAATCCAAGCCAGTGAACACACTCTTGATGCTTCAAGTGACGGCAGTGAGAAAGACGGCCGACCGTCAACTTCATCGTACCTTCCAGCTGGCCCAGATAGGATGGTTGAATTGGAAAGTGGCAAGAGAACTTCAGAGAACGAGCAAGAAGAAAGCCGTTTAAGGGAAGAGCAAACAAAGAACCAAACTGTGATTTCGACACTGTTAGGGAACAAGGACATAGAGAAACGGACATTGAGAAGGTACATGAAACGCATTTAAAAGAAGACCATGAAGTTAAAATGAGAATTCTAAAAAAGAAGGAACAGCTGCTTGATCTTAAGTTGTAGTTGTTTAGACAAAACGTAACATTGACGAGTAGTTTAGAACCTGTGCAGATATAACCTTAAAAAACTGTTTTGATGTCGAAACTTCTCGGTCGATTTTTTTAATGTTTTTAATGATGACACACCTTTTTCTGTTTATATAAAAAGTTATCTCAACCAGCTGAATTTCTGTAATCATCTAACAGAGGCTTAAAAGTGTTATAAACGACCAGACATTTTCCTTCCACCAATCGATGGTTAGCTTAAGACAATAAAGTGAGTCACTAATAAAGCACTATATAAAAGTTACGTGTGCCCTTAAGTGAGCCCGTAAGATACCACGTTAAACAGAAACTTACCAGAGTGCTAAGTGCGTTCCATGTAACACTCGTAAGTGTACCCATAACGGATTCGTAAGTGATCTACTTAAGTGAGCACTTAAGTGCAGGTTTTATGCAACCGGGCCCAGGGCCCCGTTGCATAAAACGTCCGTAACTATGGGTATTCGTACGTGCACTTGTAACAGGCGATTTCACGGTTTGGACGCCATCTTGAAGGTCAGCACTTATTTCCATCCGCCAAACTGACGTTGACAGATAAATGATTCGTACACAAAGTAAGGGTTAGGGTTAGAATCCTGTCATGAAGTGCCACATTCAAGGTCTAAACGCCCACGCAAAAGTCTAAAGTGCCCACATGTTGTGAAGTGCCCACATTCAACGTCTAAAACGCCCACACTATTTTGGCAGTAATTTTCAATTTAGCTTGAATTGATGAAAATTGTAGTGGAATATTGTGACTTTTGGCTTGTGAAGTCCGAATGTTTTTTGGAATGTTTTTTTTTTTAAGTTGTTTTTTTGCGCTTTTAAGTTGCAATTATTCTTTTTTTTCTAGGTCGTTGTTTAAGGTTCTGTTGCTTAGTAACTTTCATTGACACATCTAATTAGGGATCTTTTATATGATACTTAATTTCTATTTGTTTGTTGAATGTTACTCCTCTCATGAATTATTTAAAGTCTATTATATGGGTCAAAATTTCTGATTTATTGAGTAGCTTCACATTGAATCTTGAAACGAACTTTACTGTCGTCTTAGGAGCTGTAGCAAGGCAATCTTGACCATATATGGACATTTAAATGTTGGATGGTGGCCATCTTGGATATCTTTGAAAGGGTTAGTCTGATTTTGAGTCAAAATGTCACGCTTATTTTAAGTCTTTGTATGGTGAAATTAAACCTGTAAATGATCTTTGATATTTGAAGAGTGATTGCAAAACTGTCTTGACCATAAATGGACATTAAAATGTTGGATGGTGGCTAACAATGGGAAGTGTACTTTCAAAAAATGTGTGTATTTTAGTCCTTACATCAACCTTTTTAAAAACTCACAAATTTGTAGACACCCAATGGCTGAAATATTTGCTCTTTAATATATTTTTCATGCTTCTCATTGAAATTACTTAAACGAATATTTTACATAACGCCAACTTGATTAAAAATATGAATAAGCGCAAGGTTTTGTCTATTTTTGTATTGTTAAAGCAACCTCGTAACCTAACTTTCAGTTTCACTACTGCTTTCTGAAAGATAGAGGCGACAGACATAACCCCTATCTTCCCGACTCCCCTCTTGTTCTTCCTTCGCCACTTCTTCTTTTTTCTTTTTCTCTCCTTGTTTCTCCTTTTTCTCTTCTTCTTCCTCCTCCGCCTCATCTTCTTCCTCCTCCATCTCCTCTTCTTCTTCTTCTTCATCTCCTTCCTCGTATCTTCTTCATACTCTTGTTCCTCATCGGTACTCGACGTTTGTGTATCTTCATCCTCCTGGTGTTCATAATAATCGTCCTCCTCTTCCGTACTTGACTCTGGCGTGGGCTCCCGGGTCCTCCAGGGGACTCTTCCTCTGCTATTCAGCCACTGCGGCCGCAATACTTTTAAGTATCTTGACCGCAGTGACTGAAAGATGCGACCTGGAACAACCTATCAATAAGACAGTTTTGGCTAGAACAAAAGATGGTTAGGGTTGAGTATGTTGTATTATACAGTTACCTGTAAGAGCTCCGCCTCTCTCCAAATGGAATTGCCGCTTATTTGGTCGTTGTGTTTTGTTCTAACAAGTGCTAGGATACACTCATCCTCTTCTTTGGTGTACCTCAATCTCAATGCCATGATTTCTACCGAAAGAAAGGAAGGGTATGTTGGTTTCCTGGTCCCCCTCTCACCTTAATACTGGACAGGAAGAGTATTATTCTGAGACTTGATAGTGCAAATGCGCTACCAAAAGCCATTCAGAGGGTGTCAGCAAGTTACCAGCTTGTCTCTTTGTTGCGACTATCATTAATTTTTTCAATGTTTTTGCAACATTTTTAATTTTTTTTCTAACTCAAGTAAGGCACCATCGATTGCTCTCGCTGGCACTCCCCAAGGGTTGGTTACCTCAGCTCGTGTTGCTCCAAGACGAGAGTTTTGAAGAGGCTAACTTGAGTGTTATTGTTTATTTACAATATTACATTGACTTAAAATATATAGTTTGATATACGTATTCGTTGAGGTATCATGAGGTCACCATCCCCACTCTTTGTTGCCAGGATTTCATCGATGTTGTAGATGTGGTTCCCTGGTCAACCTCCCCTTCCCTTTTTTTTGTGTTTTTTGGAAATATTTACCTATTTAACTACTATATTCTTGAAAACCGAAGAAATTTACATATTTATCTACTGTCTTATAGGACACGGACACTATTTTTATATTTATCTTCTGCATTGTTTACATATTTATCTTCTGGATTCGAGAAAACTGAAGCTATTTACATATCTATATTGGACCTTTGGACATAATAGCCGTGTGTACCTCCACCCACCCTTTCTCGCCCCGGTAGAAAGTGCCCAATGACCAACAGTTCTTAACCAGGTTTAGCAAGCTTCCTTTTTCCTTTTTCGCAGCATGTTTTTGATTTTGTCTTTACACTGCTGGAAAGTCTTCCTGGTAAGAAGTTCGTTCAGTTCTGCTTTTTTAGCAGGTTTCTGCCTGTAACCGAAGTACTCCTCCATTAATTCATTATCTTCTTGTCCCCACTCAGATTTTCCTCCAGTCATAGATCCTGCTTATGCTTCTAGCCATTCTGAGATGTTGCTTTCAGCGTCTGCCTGGGGAAGCTCGTTGGGATCTTTTCTGGGATGCTTCACCTGGCAGTAGCGGAGATGGTCAGCCACCCTCTGCACCACGGTTTTATGTGGCACTAGCATCCTTAGCTTTGTGTCAGACATCAGTAGTGGTCTTATGTCGCGTACACACACTACTTGATCTTTGACGATAATTTCATTGAAGATGGTTTTGATTAAGGTCTTCTCTTCGCTGGGTAGGGGACAAACATTACTGGACTTGGCTTCAGGGAATGACGGACTGACATGGTTGAAGTCAATGGTGAGCGGACGAACTTTACTGGACTCTACCTCCGGAGATGAAGGACTGACGTGGTCGCTGTTGACAGGATTCAGCTCTGATGTTTGAGTGGAAGTACATACAGCTATGATGTCAAGTGCTGCTGCGGATACCTCAGTAAGGTCCTCCCTTACGTAGTTTGCTTTTGCAGCCCTATCGGAGTGACACATTGCATGTCGTATTACACGTTCATCAAAAGATGCACCATTGCACTTCTTTTGGTGGCAGGTTGTCACTATCCACTTGCGGATATTTGTCGCCGTTACACAAAGATCTGGTCTCAAACCTGATTTCTGCCAGAATTCTGGGAGCCTTTTGGCAATTTTTTCCACCTTTGAAAGCTTTGCCATTGCTCTGCAGGAATAGTTGCTCGTCCTGTAGTGCTGGAGATTTAGGACGTATCTCAGCCACGTAAACATCTAACATATCTTTTAAGGAATTGTTCAGGGAAAGTATTGCTGGGCCATCCATTTGTCTTTTGTGATTGGGCACCAAAATCGCGTAATGACCACGTTTGGGGTCCTTGCACATTGATTGGTAATCACATTCGGCAGTTCTCTAACGCCCCTGGCCACGTGCCTGTCTTTAAGGTTATTAGCGTGATTAGGTTATCCCTCGCATCAGTCAGCTGACGTTCGCTTCGAAATTGGGACTGTGGCGCTCTCCAAAATAACCTATGCCTCACGAAATTGTTTGGTCTGGCAGAAATTTTCCACATCGTTATTGGTGAGGCAACTGTCGCATTCGGGGAACGTGGTAGCGGTATCTGGCACGATAGCTGCGCTCGCGTACGGGCCTGTCAAATGAGTGGCTGGTTGCGTCGACATTCCAAGTCAATGCCCAACTGGTGCTTTGGCAAAAACGATGCTATCGTCTTTTGGATCAGATCCTATGCAACCATTGAATTGATGACAAAGACGACAAAGGCCTGGGTTGGATTCCCGATAATTGCTGTCAATGCCGACCCGTCCGACGTATCTTTGAACAAACCGTCACCTACCGGGAATGGCAGGAACCCCTGATGTATGCTGATGATGAACCGCACACTACGCGAGCTTGGAATCTCTTGTCCAAGAACAAACATTAATTCAGACTTTTTTTCCCTTTAACAGACAATGCCGCTGACTATTCACACGGGTGGTGCCGAAGGCGTGGATACGCATGTGGAACATCAAGTATGGTCATCCGTGTGGTGTTCATCCCACCCTGTCACCCTCGAGCTCTTGACCCAGCCCGACTTAGACGACGCCATGCCTATGGTCACCCGGGCCGCATTTCAATTAGGTCAACACGTCTCCCATCCCATCACCATTCAGTATTTACAACGTAATTATCACGTGATCAAGCCTGCTTCCTTGGTCTTCGCTTTGGGGTATTTTAATGAGTTACGCAAGCATGTGTTGGGTGGTACGGGATGGAGTGTGGCTATGGCTCAACCCTTATTGAAACCCGTGTGTTTGATTTGGATAAGGAACAGTGGTATTGGTGGAATCCCACCTTGCAACAATATCAACCCTGTGAAGGCATGACCGAGGAACAGGTAAGTCTTCCCATGTTACAGGACAAAACAGCGACTGTAGACACCCGAGAAGAAGGCGGTCTATCCCACCTTCGATGCTTTATTCCAACGCTCATCAACATAAAAACAATAGGACACTAATATGAAATGTAATACGTTTAATAACCCTTTCAGTATACATCAATGACAACAAAATTCATGGCTTCCAACACATTCATGATTCTGTCCAATCGAGTCATCACTTTGTCCAGGGTACTGTAGGACATCTTCCTCCTTCCGATCATGACAGGGCGCCGTCCAATAGGACAATGGGGTATTCTGTACTGAAAACGCTCATTGGCAAAAGCCACCCCCTCGTTCATGAGGTTGTCCAGGTTCATGGGTTGACGCGCCATTTCCGCCATCATAACAATCTGTGAACAATAAAAACAGACCTCAGAGTATGGTTCAGTCATTCACAAAAAAACATGTCAGCACCAGTCTCACTTACGGATAACCTGTGGCTACATGAGTCGGTGGCAGTGGTGACAGTGGCTTCCTCTGGGAGCATGCAGGTGCAACACTACCTGATTCCACTGTCGATCCTCACCGAGATGTTGGACGAAAAAGTGTACCCATTGGGCGTACCCCCTATAATGGAGACCTTTAGCATCAGGTAAACCGCAAACCGCAGACGGTAAACCGTAGTTACGCGTTTGCAGTTTCGCGTTGCCGAGATTTCAAACTTTAGCAAGGCGTTCAGTTCAGTTCATTTTTATTTAGCCAAAATACAGTACAATACAAGAATACATATAGGAATTGTAAGGTTGCAAGGGAGCCCAGAGGAAACCAGAAGGTTTTATGAAGCCTGGGCTCCCCAGTCTAAAAGAGAAGCAAAATAAAATGATATTCGCGGAGTGATACGTTAAAAATAGGAACCAAACAGAGACTGAGTTAAGTTATGAATTCAGAAACAAGATAGAAAAAAAAATTTAACTCTGGATTGGAACAGAATACTTTCCTTTGTTAGTACGGCAGAAAGGAATATAAAATTGATTTGAACTACGCGTTCATTGTTTAGGGCCGCCATGTTGTTTTCATCAAGTCGAAGTGCATCACTTTAATCGCCCAAAACTCAGCAATAATTCATTGATTCGAGATCAAAAATCCGACAAACACATCGCAAACGGATACAAAAAGCTAGTTCATACCTTTAAACGCGAGGCTGTACAATTTTTTGTAGCAAAAAACCTTGCCGTAAATCACTTACCGCTGGAAGCCCTTCCTGCGGTTCAAACGTGAACTGCAAACTGCAAACGTGACCGCAAGGCCTTGGTCACGTGACATTTTGCGGTTTGCCGTTTCCCACGAAAAATCTGATGCTAAAGGTCCCTAATGTCTTTTCGTCCACGTCATCTCCACGTGATGCCTCTCCACCAATCAGGTTCTCAGGAGGATTCTCTAAAACGCGTTGCACCACGGATGAGATGACTCGTTTGGCCAAACAGCTCCCGTGGGATCACCCCATTGCCCGCACGCTCAATCATGAAGTCCATCGTCGCAAAATGGCTGGCAAGTCGTGTCGCTTTTTTCATTGACAGGACTGAGTCGCTTCCTTCCCTCATACCGTTTTTTTTTTTTTGGTTTGTGGTGGTGTTTCCCGATCTCGACTTTCTTTGGCCCATCCACCTTTGCCCTCGACGATCTCGATTGTTTTGGGTCCCAGACTGTTCGTGTTGATTTTTTTGTCACAGATTCCTTAGATTCCGTGGAAGACAAACCTGTCTGTCATATTTATCAGTGGATAGCGCACCCTACCCACGGCTCCCTATGCAATCACTGTGATCGATGATGGATGGGTACACTCTAGATGATTTAATTTTTCGTCGTGACTGTTCCTCGACAGAAGATGAAGTGGTGGCGTATGTTCGCCGATCTGACCCCAAGAAGGGGTGGCGCCACCATGGAACCTCCCCCTTCTTGGCGTTACAAAATACCTAACTCAAAACCTATGCTGTCTTAAAAGTCGCAGCCCCCACAAGGTTCAAAGAGCGTGGAAACATGTCGCACATGAATCCAACATAGCTTGCACACTAAATACAATTGACCCGTCGGGTTTCTTCTTCGAAATACATTGTTCCTCAGGACGTAGTGAGTGCCTGAAAAAGGGAAGGGAGAAAAATGGTCCGTACCACGAATTGACAATCTGAAGGGGGGAAAAATGCAAGCGAGTCTAAGAGCGTTTATACCCAAAATCCTGTAACATGTTGCACCAGTAACAAGAAGTCGTTACATGCGTGACACGGCGAATGCACAAATAACATTGTTGACAAGGCAATTGCAGTGGGCGTGGGGAAGGGATGACGACCCCCGAACCACTGTACCATTGCAAGACGGATCGAAAACACCATTCAATCGAGGCTCCATAAACCCTGTGGGTGCGGAGAATCGAATACGTGCCTACAAAGAATTACACAGGCGAATGACACATTGAACAGTACTAAGATGAAGTCTGTATTGGATGGGTTTGATCCATCTGCCAAATTGCTTTAACGTCAAAGAGAACTCTAAAAAGAGGTGGAGAGCCGAATTAGCGCGGGAATGCTGGTGTGATAGAGGCCAATGTGCAAGAGTCGGATCCATTGCGTGTGATGACGCAAGAGGCAATGAGTGCCTAAAAAGAATTCAAAATATCCAAATCAGGCTCAGGACTGGCACCATCGGCCCGGAGAAAGGAATTGACCCGAAAGGTCACGCATAAGGGCCAATCGTCCCATTCCTGATCCATGGGCATCTTTTTTTCAACCAAACAATACGTTTTTTTGGTTCAATAGATTCCCATTGGCTCATAGATCACGTCATGATTTTTCAAAGCTCACCCATCCCGGGGAAACCCACAATTGTCAACCTACTTTTCTCTACAACATGTATACGCCCTGTATTCGAACATGCGTACCCAGGTTTTCATCATTCTTTGCCACAATATGTCTAATGAAATGGAAAGGTTGCAAAAGTGTGCGTTGCGGATAATACAACCCGACTTATCCTATGCTGAGGCTCTAGTAGCTCTAGACATCACGTCACTGTACGAGAGGAGGAAAGCCTTGAGTAATGCTCTATTTGACCAAATTGTAAGGGATCAGAGCCACAAGTCCATGATCTGCTGCCGCCATGCAAACGGTCCACTTATTGCACCCGTAGCCAGAGATACTTCAACTACCCATTTGTAAGACAAATAGGTTTAAAAACACTTTTATTATGGCGAACAGTTTTAATTATTAGTAGTTATCTTAATTATTGCCAACGAGTCACCCTCGCGAGGACGCGAGGGTGACGAGGCGGCAGCATCATAAATCCGACGCGCGAGTTAGTTTTGGTACAGGGAGAAAAAATCTCGAATCAAAATGTAAGCATAAGGTAATGTAAGAGTGACATCATCGGTCATTGTTTTCGAGCTAGCCAATGGCATCGTGGTATTTTTTAATCTAAACCAATCACATCAGGACGATCATGACCGGTGACCACATGACCAACATCAGATGACCACATTAACCTCGTGGGCATTTTCTGGTGTATCCCGGCATCTCCTGTTCGTGTTGGGCATCGTGCGACTTGCGAGGTGATCAATTACCAGGCAGGAAAAGGTGAGTGGAAATATTGATTTTATTCACTCGTGAGCGTTGTCTTCTTGGGTGCATTTTAATTAAGTGTTTTTGGATCCGGGGTCGCAAATCTAGCAACTAGCAGACTGAAAAATCGCCCAGCGAGGCTAAAATCGCCCAGCGAGGCAGTTATCGAGAGCAGCTCGAAAACGGCGAGTGACAGTGTCACAGTCACGGCGAGCTTGCCAAAACAGTCAATTGTCTTGACCAGATCGGCCAGCGTGCCATTTAAGAAACAAAAACAAAACCACTTGAATATATTCACTATAAACTCAATCAGAGGGCGTATAAAGCCTCTTTTTATCGAGCTAGTGTGCTCAGTGCTCAAAATTACAAATTTTGATCGACCAACGAGACACGAGTCACATGGCGTGTCGCTGTTAGTTGTGCGCTTTTTTTCTGCTTATCCATTAGCGTGTCCGAAAGTGAAAAACAGTCTAAGCTCTGTTTGCCGGGAAGCCACTATCAGTCAAGCTTGAGGGAGCTTAGCAAATCAGTTTGGATAGTTTTTTTTTATTCCAAAATTGTAGGGTGCTTAGCTTCGTTTGAAATCAGAACTGCTCAGGTCCAAAGTACACTTGCTGAAGCGCGTGCACTGAAGTAACAGCTCACGAGAATTTATGATGCTTCGTCTATTGTGTGTGTTATTAGTCGTAAGTCATTATCAGGGCCATAGTGGTGAGACTAATTTCAATTTTCCACGGGATATCAAAATGTAACCATTTTCAGATTCCGAGGAAGATATTTGTCTAGACGTATACCTTATCCTTCTAATGGTAGTTTTAATCCCTTTGCAATTTCTAATAAAGAAGCACACATATTAAATGGAAACATAAATAACTTGGAAGCTGCAAAAATGTGTGAGGAAAACAGCTATTCATTTGGTAGAGATCACTTCAGTAATTATTGTTTAAACAATGCAGGTAAATTTTCCTGTGCAGTTGATTGTTTTCTCGAGCTGTGTTATGGTGTTTTTTGTAATCATCTTCATAGCACTACACGAAATGAGTTTTTTGACGTTATCTATGAGTCATGTAATCAAAGAGAAAACCTTGGGGCTATTGACATTGTGCGAGAACCTGTGTGGTTATGGCTCAGAGATCATTGTTCATCATTTTCTGCAATGACTGCCAATGCTGTTTTTAGTGACATATTTACATTGAATACTGTCGGAGAGTTAAGTGAGGACCTCAAGTCATTGTTTGTTGTTCAGCAATGCAATCAGTCGTGTTGCGCATCATGTGGCAACCAAATCATATATAAGACAGGTATATTTGTTCTTTACATTACCTGCCCAAATATCATTTCCACGCAATTTGCAAATCATGTTTCAGAAGCTGTTCTTCCTCACAGTAGGGCTCTTTTATTGTGAATCTTGCCAAAAACACAGTGGTGATGTTTCTGCATTGCGACATTTTGTAACACTTCCCACATTTTTAACTATTGAATTGTCATCCAATTGTATTGATCAAATTACATTTCCTTTAACTATGGACGTTTTAGAAAATTATTATTCACTGAAAGCTGTTGTGCGTTCTGCAAGTCAACATTTTACTATCGCTATAAATAAAGGAACACATTGGTTGTATTTTGATGATATCTGCAGATCAATTCAGCAATATTCCACTTTTCAAAACCTCTTGATTGCCCATGCCAATGGCTGGTATTTTGCTGTCTATGAAAAGTCTGCCATTCCATTCATTGATAGCGGTAATGCACATGCAGCTGTGAACCAATCTAAGTACACCCAAGAATACCTCACAGGACATTCAGTGCCAAAAGTACTCATTAATGATACTTTAACAGTGCCATCAAACAAACACATTGCACAAGCAAAACAAAATGCATACATGAAAGAATATCGAAAGAAAAGAAAAAGTAATGAAACTGCAGAAGAACAACTTGCCAAAAAACAAAAGCAAAATGCTTACATGAAAGAGTACAGAAGGAGAAAGAAAAATAATGAATCTCAAAGTGAGACGCTTGCTAGACAAGGAAAGCAAAATATATACATGAGGGAATACAACAGGAGAAAGAAAAACATTGAAACTGATACCAAAAAATTTGCAACGGAAGAAAAACAAAATACAAACATGAAGGAAAATCATGAAAAAAGTGAAAAACAACTTGGCCTAAAACAGAAGAAAAATGCTTACATGAAAGAGTACAGAAGGAGAAAGAAAAACAATGAATTTCATAGTGAGAAACTTACTACACGACGAAAAAGCAAAATATATACATGAAGGAATACAACAACAGAAAGAAAAGACGTTGCAACTGGTAGCAAAACAATTTCAAGAGAAGAAGAACAAAATACAGTAATGAAAGAAGATCATGCAAAAAGTGTTCATGGTGATTTTAAAATGCAAGCAAAACTTATTAGAGAAGAAAAAACAAAATACAGACATCATGGAAAATCATGCAAAAAGTGTTAACAGTGATTTTAAAATGCAAGCAGATCAAAATGTATTTAAATGTTTTGTGGAGAAGGAAAAATATTTGTCTTTGTTTGATAGTCAAACAAATGGACCAATTCATTTACAGGAATGGGCTAAAAAAAAAAACATGCGAGATTTCCATAATTCTTTGAAATTCAAAATCTATAAATGCAACATCTGCCATGAAGCATGGCCATTGTCAGAAAAATGTAAAGATGAATCTACATATGTGTGCTCTAGGTGTTTGCGTGACAAGAATGCAACAAAAAAGTTTTCAGTTGACAATAATATGATACCTTCACAAGCACCAAAAGAACTGCAGGGACTCACACAATTAGAAGAAATGCTTATAGCACGTGTATTTCCAGTAATATCTGTTTATACAAAACCAGGGGGCAAAAGGCATACAAAGGCCACTGTATTAATTTTTCCCAAGATATTCAAGAGCTAGCTAACTCATTGCCAAGGTATCCGAGGGAGCTGCCTGTGATAGTTGTGTCAGTCAAAGGCAAAGATAATACTTATAAAGATCTTACAGTAAGGCGGGAAAAAGTGAGCTGTGCTCTACACTGGTTAGTCCAGCATAACCCTGTATACAAAAAATATTACTATAGATTATGACTGCTTGTCTTCCTTGCCATCTGAAGGCATCCCAAGTGAACTGCATCAGATTGATTGTATTGAGAATACTAAAGATAAGGAAATGGATCCAGACAGAGGTCCACTTGATGTCAATGAAATACCATTCAATGAAGAGACAGAATTAAGCAGCACAATCCTTAATCCAGTAACCTTAAAGCCTCAAAAGCAACTTATTACAGATCAGTTATTGCAAAAGCATAAATTAAATTGGCCACACAGAGACGCAAGCCCTCTGAATGAATTTAAGATCGAATTTCTAGCAACAATGGCATTTCCCACCTATTTCCTGATGCTAAAGGAGACCCTACAAACACTGCTATAAAGCGGGGTGCAACTTTAGGAGAGAAAATAAAGCATCTAATTAAATTTGCTGAATATTCTAATGATGAGTGGACTTATAGGTTTGCAAGCCATCCACGATTTGCATATTGGGCTTTTAATATGATTCAGAGGCATAGACTTCTTAGTCAAGGGAGTATTTTTTGAAACAAAACCCTAGCGATGCAAAACTAACTGTGGAACAACTTAAACAGATGCTTCAGTCAAATAATCATTCAACTTTAATGTCTAAACTTATGCATTATGCTAAAAATATAACTGGTAGCAATAGCTATTGGCACAAAGCAAAAGAGGATTTAAGGGCTACCGTTGCTCAAGTAGGACCTCCTACAATTTTTTTTTACCTTGTCTTGTGCAGAGTACCATTGGCCAGAATTTCATAATCTTCTAAGTAATGACCACTGTGGAGATATCACACCAAAATTGAGACAGAAACATGTTATTGACAATCCACATCTCATTGACTGGTTTTCACTGAGCGAACTGATCGGTTTGTGAAGTTTTGGCTGAATAAATCATTACAGGCATCTTGGTATTGGTACCGATATGAATATGCTGTTCAGAGGGGATCGATTCATTGTCACGGAGTTGCAAAATTGCAGAATGATCCAGGGCTTTGTGAACTTACAGCAGTTGCACTGCAGGGTTTTTTTTGGCATCAAAATATATCAAAGAACACCAAGCAAATATATCAATTGAAGAACTACAAGAACTGAAAAATAAGGAGAAAAGGGGGGAAAATGCTGAGGCAACTGTTTGCCAATATGTCAATTTTTATTAACGACATGGAATCCTTGTTCTCCAGATGAAGGTTGGTCCAAGCCAAATTCTCATCCATGTCAAACACCATATCTTTCCTTAAAAGAAGAGAAAATGGAAGATGACTATGTGAATCTATTGAATTCTGTTCAAAGGCATACGTTGTGTAGTACTAAGTATTGCCTTAGGGAAAAAAAAGACGGTTGCGAATTATGCTGCAGGTTTAATTTTCCATTTGATAACTGTAAAAAAAAGGATAGATTTTGAACCTGTCCATACAAAATCAGGTCAACCAAAGTATAAAGCAGTTATTGTTACTAAACGAAATGACTCAAGATTAAATCGTCATCAACCATTGCAGCTTCAAGGATGGAGGGCAAATTGTGATATCCAAATTATTGTGGATTACCAGGCATGTTTAGAATATCTTGTTAAGTACACATCCAAAGGGGAAAAAGCATCTTCCGTTGTTAATAATGCATTCACCACTATTGTTCAGAAGCTTTCAGACACAAGTGACATTCATAACACATTTAAGCAGATAATGATCAAATCTGTAGGACAAAGGGACTATTCAATTCAAGAGGTCATGCATCATTTACTCTCTCTTAAGTGTGTAAGTGCTACTTATGAAGTAATAAATGCATCTCTAGATGGCTCAAGAAGAATTCAAATTGTAAGAGATAAGGAATATTGTACTGCCCCATCCATGCTCGATATATATGCTGAGCGAAGGAAATACATGAAAACATTTCCAAGTATACTAGAATGCAACTTTGTACAGTTTACATCTACATATATTAATAAAGGTTCAAAACTAGAGAAAAGAAAACGACCAGTAATTGTTAAAACATATCCAAACTATTCATCAAATCCTCAAAATCAGCATTATGGGCTTTTTGTAAATATCAACTACTTAAGTATAAACCTTGGGAGCATACACCAGATGATGCCTGGAGTAATGCTGAACACTGTAATGAAACATTCAAAACATGTTGGATGAATTTTCTCTGTAGTAACAATGGAAGGGCTGTAGTTCCTGACTGGGAAATCAAGTTACAAGCCTTAAAGGAATCTATTAAGCTAGAAACTGACAATTTTACAACAGAAAATGATGAAGAAGAGGAAAAGGAAGAATGGATGTTAATGTCTGAGTTGAATATTCAAAACATTACTAATGATGCACAAAGTTCTGTCTTAGCTCCTGAGGGATATTGGCACAATGTTACTGAACACTTTGATGAAGAGCAACTAAATTCTGTAGTATCTTGGTTAGCGAATCAAAAATCTATGAATAATCCTCAGTGGCAAATGCCAACAAGGATAGTAGATATTTCAAGCTTTAGTACAAACCAAAGATTGGCATACAACGTAGTTTGTGATCACTTTAACAGAAGTGACAAAGAACCTATACTTCTCCTAATTAAAGGTATTGCAGGGTCAGGGAAAAGCTATCTCATTGACGCCATTAGAAATGTACTCCAAACACAATGCAAGGTGCTAGCGTACACTGGAAAAGCATCTTTTAATGTGAATGGTGTAACTTTGCATTCATTTCTCAAATTGCCAATTGGCTCAAAAAGACTCACTGAACTAAAAGGAATAGCACTACAACAGCTTCAAAGTAATGTAGAAAATCTTCGGTATTTGATAATAGATGAATACTCTTTGGTTGGTCAGAGTTTGCTTGGCTGGATAGATTCTAGATGCCGACAAGCTACAGGCCTGGCAAATCAGAGTTTTGGTGGTCTTTCGGTTATTGTTGTGGGTGATATAGCACAGTTACCCCCTGTTGGTGATAAACCACTTTACCATTCAATGCCCAAAACAGATAAGCAGATTCAGGGTCATCTCATGTATCAACAGTTTAACAAAGTAGTTGCATTGACAGTTAACCACAGAGTTGATGGTAACAGTAGTGAGCAGCACCTTTTTAGGATCTTCTTCTCAGAGCACGTAATGGTGAATCCACACCAGCTGATTGGCATACATTACTGTCAAGAACTCCAGACCGTGTATCAAATATCCAGGAATTTGAAATGTCATCAATAAGACTATCCTATCTCAAGTCTAGTGTTGCAGAGATAAACATAGCCAAGTTAAAAGCTCTTAATCAACCAATAGCAACTATAAAAGCTCGTCACTCTGGTGGTGCTCAGAACCTTAGCTCAGATGAAATGGGAGGCCTAGAGCCTGTGATTTACTTAGCAAAAGGAGCGAGAGTAATGCTCACTATGAACATCTGGACTGAAGTTGGACTTTGTAATGGAGCCCTAGGGACAGTATTAGATTTTGTTTATCCACATGACCAGACTCCCCCGACGCTACCAATTTGTGTTCTTGTACAGTTTGACGACGATTATAATGGCCCTACTCTTTCTGCTAGATTTCCAAGATGTGTTCCAATTTGTCCAATAACACAGGTTTCTCAAAACCTAGGTCAAAATGTGAAAGACAGCAATTACCCCTAAAGTTAGCATGGGCAATCACTATACACAAGAGTCAAGGTTTAACGCTAAAGAAAGCCTGGGTTGATCTTGGTCCTTCAGAAAAATCTTCAGGAATGACATATGTTGCACTAAGTAGAGTTAAGAAACTTGAAGACCTAATGGTAGAACCCATGACCCTGGATAGACTGCAAGCACCCAAAAAAATGTGCAATTTAAATTACAGACTTAAAGAAGAAGAGCGGCTAGATGGTTTAGCCCAAGATACTTTGGACAGTTTATTGTAGAATCCTATTGCCCTAAATATATTAAACATCCAAACCAGATAAAACCACTTTTAACAATTAGAGTTTGATTAACCAGATGTGAGCCTTGATTCAAGATAATGTAAAGGATACAGATTTTAACTTGAAATAATGGCATAAATTGAGTGGAAAACTGCTACAATGTACATAACCTTTATTTAGAATTTTTATTTTTTTGTTACAGATTCTTTGTGGAAAGAATGTCAAAGCGTGAGCCAGACCTTAACTCGGGTAAGTATTATGATTATGGGGGGGAACAGTAGATCAGAATGCAAGGAAAATGGTGAATAGGTACTAAACACAGAGACTACAGTGATTTGTTGCCTATTTAACATGAATCTTTTGATTTTTTCCTTAGAATCACTCTGTGGCTTTATACATAATTTAAGCCCTGTAAAACGCTCAAAGAGAACGGATTGGTTTGAGTTTCATCTGCAAACAAGTCCTTCCAAAGTACAGCGAGTAGTTGGATTTAATATCCCAAGCCACTCAACCTTCAGTGGACATAACAAATCAAAACCCCTGTGCTGCTGTCAAATACTAAGAAGAATGATTCGAACAAGGACATTATCTTCAACCAACAGTCAATTGTAAGGTCTGCACCAGCGTTCGACATTGACTTTGATTATTCTCCAGACATTGCTGCATCTGAGTCATCCTCCTCTTCAGTGCAACCTGCTACTACGATCACTCTGGAACAGGTACCAACTCTAAAGATAAACCAGAAGGTCAACGTCACAGCAACGATTTCATTGGGCAGTGAACAACCTAAGCCGGTTGAAGTGAAATCCACACAAAAGATGACGCTCGTCAAAGAGGATTGTGTCTTAGAAGATGAGACAGGTACAGCTGAAATTCACATTTGGGATGACCTCATCAACAACGTGAAAAATGGGACAACATATGAATTCCAAAACCTGAACGTCAAGCACTTCAAAGGAAGCACCCACTTAGCAACGACACCAGCAACTACCTTCAAGGAAGCCAGCAAACAACTTAAGTCTGTGCAAGGGCCTACACTACTGGAAAACCCAGAAAAAGAAGTTAAAGTCGACATGTTCAAGTTTCTTAACAACCTAAGCATATTCGTTGCTTGTCAAGCTTGTAAGAGGAAGATAACAGAGAGTGCCCATCAGAAGTACATAAAATGCAGGAACTGCGGAGTAAGGCAGCGTCAAGGCGAATGCAAGAGAGATGCATCTGTGCAAGTCAAAGTAGAAATAGCTGGAAAGGAAATATGGCTGACAGCGTTCACAAAAGAAATTGAAAGTCTTCTGGCTCTGTCTCCAGAGCTTTCCCTTATGAGTGACTCAGAATCTATTGAAGACCACCTTATGGACCTCAAGGATATCCACTTCACCTATAATGTGAACAAAAACACCATAACCCAGGTGACATCTCTTTCAAATGGACTGGCGCAATGACACTATGGAACGATTGATTAATGGGCTATCTTGGCATGAAACTACTTACTATGTAAACTACGTTCAAAGTTGCCTTCTAAAATCATGTTAAAACACGAACATGAAACATTTTAAAAAACAAAGAAATCATGTGAGATATGCATTTTTTATCTCTGTTACAAGTTCAGTTCTTAAAGACATTTCAAAAAACAAGGATTTGCATTTGGAATCTACTTTACAAGTTTCGTTTTTAAAAACATTCTAAAAGACGAAGAAAAGCATCTCAGATTTGCATTTGTAATTTACGTTACAAGTTTTGGTATTAAAGACATTTGACACATTTCAATTCATGCTCATTTGTCTCAGGTAATGCAAGGGCTACATATATTTCAGCTCTAATCTGCCTTACAAGTTTAGTTCTTACGGACATTCTAAACAACAAAGAATAGCATGTGCGTTTTGCAATGCTTTTTTAAACAATCATTCAATTTGAAAAAAATGTTCTGTAGTCTGGTTACTTCTTCATTTTCATTCGGCAAGCAACTGTCGCCGTTTTTACTCGTTGGCACTCTAGCGCCAGCTATTTCTAGTTAGTATTTTGGTGTTGGTACTTCTCCTTTGTATTTTATTGTAGGTTATATTTTGAGGTTTTTATAGTAGTTATCATATATTTATAGATAATTTTTAGTTTCATTGTAAAGTAAGTCACATTTCAGCCGGCCTGGGGGCTGCAATGATTTTACTTCTTAATAAAGCTATCTTTCTAAGCTATCTATCACCACGGATGGTCCAGTCTGCTACATCTTTTCCGACCCAAAATAAACCATTAAATTATAAATTTTTTTCCCATTCACAGTCACTCATTGAATATCAGATAATTTCAACTTCAACCAAGAGTGGTCTTTATTGGATCTTTTTTGTGTCAATATACGAACTTTTTCAAGGGCGCGACGTCACTAGGACGTTGCACATGTACCGACTGTAATTAAGTCATTCTATATTTTCTTATAGTCACTCACTGGATACTAAACCACTGTCTCATCCGCTGCAACAGTGGGCTTTATGTCATCCAGTTTGCTTCATAGCTTGTTTGAAACGTCCCATTCACTCCGTTCCCTTTTTTTTTTTTAGTCACTTTCATTGATATTCAATACAACCTCATAAAACTGTGGTCGATGACAGGCTTCAAGCACTTCATTCGATGGCCACGTTCGTCGCTCATGACCCACTCAGCCAAAAGGCAAACGCCTTTTCTTCTCTTCATGTATTAAACTCAAGGGCGTGACGTCACCAGGACGTTGCACATTCCCCAACTGTAAATAAGTACCTCTCGAGAATGTATTAAACCAACAAAGAGATTTTTATTTCCAATACAGTGTATTTTTCATTGACTTCCGGTGATGCGATAGGTCTGGGGATTCTTTTGAGTGTTTGCGAATGCGCGATACACAGGGGGTGGTCTCCCAATCCCCCGAGCTCATGATAAAAGTGTTTGACAATATAAAAGAAAAATTAAATAATTAATATCTCAATAGCGACTAATTAAATTAAAAAATATAACATCTATCTATAAAAATAAATCGGGTCAAAGGCAATTGCTGCATTGACAGCCGATAAAATTTAACTTAGTTAAAAGTCTCCGAAAAGACGATGCATTAGGTGCGTTTTTTTACAGCAGATGGCAACTGGTTCCAGATGAGCGAGATCATGTACGCATATGAACCATGAAGGAGTCTACTATTATATGAAGTTTGTACAACATTTCGACCATTGCTTCTAAGATTATATGGTGTAACTCGGGGTTTGAATAAACTGGCTACATAGCCTGGACCATTCTCCTTGAAACATTTAAAAGATATCATTAAGGATTGTTCTATGCGTCTATGTTCCAAGGTATTCATATCTGCCATCCTAAGAATGGCAGATATGAATGTTACTTCCCGTATAAACACAGTCTCTGGGCCATCTACTATGCATAAATTAACTCTAACATATTCATCCCTGATGCCTCCTTGGATAACTGACACCTTTTTCAATCCCGAATTTGAAAGACACAGGGTAACTGCTCATGAATACTCCCACCATGAGTCTGTTCAGACTATGAGACAAATGGAAAATGTACACCTTGTTAACTTTTTCCAATTAACACTTAAAAGCAAAAATGACTTTGATGCTGCATTTGACCTTGTACTGAGTACCAAACTTTCTGAATATCTCAAGTTATTTCTTATTCCTCAACCTGCTGACTGGCCTGCTCAGGTCTACTCTAGACAAGTCATTTACGAAACCCTTCAGAAATTTTGCTGCCCATCTGATGTCTTCTCAAGTGTGCCCCACAGATCATTCATATGCAAGAGTCTGCTCTTCTGGACCCATACAACAACAAATGAACGTTAGTACATCTGGGCAACCAGGAATTCTTTCCATAATTCCGCGTATTGGACCCCTTCACATCTCCTTAAACGGAAGAGAAACTGTGTTTCATGATTATCGGCAATTTTTTGAGACTGTCTATAATAATCTCTTTCCAAAAAGCAAATTGGCAAAGAATCCTAAGCCCTGGAGAATCAGTCTGATACTTGAAGTGGTCTACTCTGGATGGCTTTTTATCAGAGACAGTGTTAAGAACAAATTTTGTTTTTGCAAGGACTTGGAATACAGAACTCTTTTGAATTTGATCGACAATTATCTACCACTTGTCCTTTCCATCTACAGTGTTACTTACAAACTAAATAACTTTCAAGAGTATCTGAATGCAATGATCAGGATATGGGTGATGTTTGTTTGTCTTGAGAGACATCATTACAATAAGGCCCCACTAGTTTGCCTTCCTATGTGCTCTTACTGGGGCATACACCATCCTGCCTTATATAAACTGCTTCTGACAAATTTGGTTATCTTTGATGAGTATCCTGTAGAAAACACTCATAGTATCATACGTTCTAAAACCAACACCTATGACACAGCTGAACAAATACAGAAGAAAGCGAAAGTTGTGTTTCAGTCAAAAATGGAACAGCAGCACATCAAAGAACACTTCACCCAACCCAAGAAACCGCAGTGGTCACTTAATAACCTCAAAAGTCTGAAGGCCAAATGTGCAAACATCCTTGCAAACATATTTACAGGAATAGCCAGGAACCCAGGAAAAGCAAAAATCTCTACTCCAGGCAAAACTACAAAAGTGTTGTTACCCAAGATATTTGGAGATGAGCCTGTCAAGATTAAAGTCTTACCTCTGGGATACTGCACCAGCACCATTCCAGACCAAAGCAGACGATGTGATTTACCAGGGTGCAACATAAATGAAGATCTGTCTGGGAAAATATTTGAGGGCTGTTCACATTCTTTCCATCATTCCTGCCTTGGCGAAATACAGTTTTGTCCCCTCTGTCAAGCCTTCCTTGCAAAAAAAGCAGAGAGTCTTTCGAAAACTGCTAAGGAAGCTATTCTAAACCCTAAAGAAAGAGAAAGTGTAAATGAACAATCCAAGAACCTACCAGCAGATGGCAGTGAACTAGAGGGTGGATGAAAAAATAAAACATGTGAATAAAGACATAATGGCACTACCAACACCACCATCCCCACCATTAAACCAAGTATCAAGCTCACCAAGCCAACCAAGTCAAGTTCATCCATCGCACATCCAGCCACCTGCCTTAGCAAGCACAGCACCCAAGAGACAACAACTATGCAAACGATGTGGTCACCCAAGAAAGGGACACACATATCCAAAGAATAGTGCAGTCAGATGCAGTAATGGTGTGTGTGCGACCCATTTCACGGGACATTGGGATTGTTTCTCCAGCCTCTCTCACAAATGAGCTCAATCACATACGCAGAAGTGAAGAAAATCTATGTGCAATACTAATAACTCCTCCCGACAAGTCAATGCTGCTTTGCTTTAGCAATGAACAAAACAAAATAGCACTTTTTGACAGCCATCAACATGGTAGTTATGGTGGACTTATTGCAGTGGCAACTTAAGCACAAGTTGATAATTTTGTTTCGTTTCTGAGCTATATGTGTGCCCGTGATTGGGGCAGTTTTATTCCTGGGGCAAATTTAGCAGTGCTGACAAAACGCTGATAAATTGCTTTGCAGGTATCTTGCCGTGTTTGAGGGTAACGCATTGAAAGTCTAGAAAGAGTCATAACAAGGACATGATAGGATTGCTTTAGTATCGCTGTCGAACAGTTAGATAACTATTTAGTAAAGCAATTCTAGACAGTAGGACAATACCTATTAATAAAATTAAGATATGTTCCAGTTCACTTCAAGAGTAGACATTGAAAAGATACTCTATAAAATACATCTGCTTGTCAAACCCATGTTAAGTCTGACTGGACATGTCAGCATGTGCTCAGTTCAGCAGTGAATTAATATATGTTCTACAATTTTCCCAGCACTTTAAAGCTACAAAATTAAGAGCACACGAGAAGTAGATTAGTCACCTGGTGAGATGTTGGTGGTAGTCTCTCCGTATGTCCAGAAAAATAAAAAAAATGAATATCAACTAGAAATAGCTGGCGCTAGAGTGCCAACGAGTAAAAACGGCGACAGTTGCTTGCCGAATGAAAATGAAGAAGTAACCAGACTACAGAACATTTTTTTCAAATTGAATGATTGTTTAAAAAAGCATTGCAAAACGCACATGCTATTCTTTGTTGTTTAGAATGTCCGTAAGAACTAAACTTGTAAGGCAGATTAGAGCTGAAATATATGTAGCCCTTGCATTACCTGAGACAAATGAGCATGAATTGAAATGTGTCAAATGTCTTTAATACCAAAACTTGTAACGTAAATTACAAATGCAAATCTGAGATGCTTTTCTTCGTCTTTTAGAATGTTTTTAAAAACGAAACTTGTAAAGTAGATTCCAAATGCAAATCCTTGTTTTTTGAAATGTCTTTAAGAACTGAACTTGTAACAGAGATAAAAAATGCATATCTCACATGATTTCTTTGTTTTTTAAAATGTTTCATGTTCGTGTTTTAACATGATTTTAGAAGGCAACTTTGAACGTAGTTTACATAGTAAGTAGTTTCATGCCAAGATAGCCCATTAATCAATCGTTCCATAGTGTCATTGCGCCAGTCCATTTGAAAGAGATGTCACCTGGGTTATGGTGTTTTTGTTCACATTATAGGTGAAGTGGATATCCTTGAGGTCCATAAGGTGGTCTTCAATAGATTCTGAGTCACTCATAAGGGAAAGCTCTGGAGACAGAGCCAGAAGACTTTCAATTTCTTTTGTGAACGCTGTCAGCCATATTTCCTTTCCAGCTATTTCTACTTTGACTTGCACAGATGCATCTCTTTGCATTCGCCTTGACGCTGCCTTTTACTCCGCAGTTCCTGCATTTTATGTACTTCTGATGGGCACTCTCTGTTATCTTCCTCTTACAAGCTTGACAAGCAACGAATATGCTTAGGTTGTTAAGAAACTTGAACATGTCGACTTTAACTTCTTTTTCTGGGTTTTCCAGTAGTGTAGGCCCTTGCACAGACTTAAGTTGTTTGCTGGCTTCCTTGAAGGTAGTTGCTGGTGTCGTTGCTAAGTGGGTGCTTCCTTTGAAGTGCTTGACGTTCAGGTTTTGGAATTCATATGTTGTCCCATTTTTCACGTTGTTGATGAGGTCATCCCAAATGTGAATTTCAGCTGTACCTGTCTCATCTTCTAAGACACAATCCTCTTTGACGAGCGTCATCTTTTTGTGTGGATTTCACTTCAACCGGCTTAGGTTGTTCACTGCCCAATGAAATCGTTGCTGTGACGTTGACCTTCTGGTTTATCTTTAGAGTTGGTACCTGTTCCAGAGTGATCGTAGTAGCAGGTTGCACTGAAGAGGAGGATGACTCAGATGCAGCAATGTCTGGAGAATAATCAAAGTCAATGTCGAACGCTGGTGCAGACCTTACAATTGACTGTTGGTTGAAGATAATGTCCTTGTTCGAATCATTCTTCTTAGTATTTGACAGCAGCACAGGGGTTTTTGATTTGTTATGTCCACTGAAGGTTGAGTGGCTTGGGATATTAAATCCAACTACTCGCTGTACTTTGGAAGGACTTGTTTGCAGATGAAACTCAAACCAATCCGTTCTCTTTGAGCGTTTTACAGGGCTTAAATTATGTATAAAGCCACAGAGTGATTCTAAGGAAAAAATCAAAAGATTCATGTTAAATAGGCAACAAATCACTGTAGTCTCTGTGTTTAGTACCTATTCACCATTTTCCTTGCATTCTGATCTACTGTTCTTCCCCCCATAATCATAATACTTACCCGAGTTAAGGTCTGGCTCACGCTTTGACATTCTTTCCACAAAGAATCTGTAACAAAAAAATAAAAATTCTAAATAAAGGTTATGTACATTGTAGCAGTTTTCCACTCAATTTATGCCATTATTTCAAGTTAAAATCTGTATCCTTTACATTATCTTGAATCAAGGCTCACATCTGGTTAATCAAACTCTAATTGTTAAAAGTGGTTTTATCTGGTTTGGATGTTTAATATATTTAGGGCAATAGGATTCTACAATAAACTGTCCAAAGTATCTTGGGCTAAACCATCTAGCCGCTCTTCTTCTTTAAGTCTGTAATTTAAATTGCACATTTTTTTGGGTGCTTGCAGTCTATCCAGGGTCATGGGTTCTACCATTAGGTCTTCAAGTTTCTTAACTCTACTTAGTGCAACATATGTCATTCCTGAAGATTTTTCTGAAGGACCAAGATCAACCCAGGCTTTTTTAGCGTTAAACCTTGACTCTTGTGTATAGTGATTGCCCATGCTAACTTTAGGGGTAATTGCTGTCTTTCACATTTTTGACCTAGGTTTTGAGAAACCTGTGTTATTGGACAAATTGGAACACATCTTGGAAATCTAGCAGAAAGAGTAGGGCCATTATAATCGTCGTCAAACTGTACAAGAACACAAATTGGTAGCGTCGGGGAGTCTGGTCATGTGGATAAACAAAATCTAATACTGTCCCTAGGGCTCCATTACAAAGTCCAACTTCAGTCCAGATGTTCATAGTGAGCATTACTCTCGCTCCTTTTGCTAAGTAAATCACAGGCTCTAGGCCTCCCATTTCATCTGAGCTAAGGTTCTGAGCACCACCAGAGTGACGAGCTTTTATAGTTGCTATTGGTTGATTAAGAGCTTTTAACTTGGCTATGTTTATCTCTGCAACACTAGACTTGAGATAGGATAGTCTTATTGATGACATTTCAAATTCCTGGATATTTGATACACGGTCTGGAGTTCTTGACAGTAATGTATGCCAATCAGCTGGTGTGGATTCACCATTACGTGCTCTGAGAAGAAGATCCCTAAAAAGGTGCTGCTCACTACTGTTACCATCAACTCTGTGGTTAACTGTCAATGCAACTACTTTGTTAAACTGTTGATACATGAGATGACCCTGAATCTGCTTATCTGTTTTGGGCATTGAATGGTAAAGTGGTTTATCACCAACAGGGGGTAACTGTGCTATATCACCCACAACAATAACCGAAAGACCACCAAAACTCTGATTTGCCAGGCCTGTAGCTTGTCGGCATCTAGAATCTATCCAGCCAAGCAAACTCTGACCAACCAAAGAGTATTCATCTATTATCAAATACCGAAGATTTTCTACATTACTTTGAAGCTGTTGTAGTGCTATTCCTTTTAGTTCAGTGAGTCTTTTTGAGCCAATTGGCAATTTGAGAAATGAATGCAAAGTTACACCATTCACATTAAAAAGATGCTTTTCCAGTGTACGCTAGCACCTTGCATTGTGTTTGGAGTACATTTCTAATGGCGTCAATGAGATAGCTTTTCCCTGACCCTGCAATACCTTTAATTAGGAGAAGTATAGGTTCTTTGTCACTTCTGTTAAAGTGATCACAAACTACGTTGTATGCCAATCTTTGGTTTGTACTAAAGCTTGAAATATCTACTATCCTTGTTGGCATTTGCCACTGAGGATTATTCATAGATTTTTGATTCGCTAACCAAGATACTACAGAATTTAGTTGCTCTTCATCAAAGTGTTCAGTAACATTGTGCCAATATCCCTCAGGAGCTAAGACAGAACTTTGTGCATCATTAGTAATGTTTTGAATATTCAACTCAGACATTAACATCCATTCTTCCTTTTCCTCTTCTTCATCATTTTCTGTTGTAAAATTGTCAGTTTCTAGCTTAATAGATTCCTTTAAGGCTTGTAACTTGATTTCCCAGTCAGGAACTACAGCCTTTCCATTGTTACTACAGAGAAAATTCATCCAACATGTTTTGAATGTTTCATTACAGTGTTCAGCATTACTCCAGGCATCATCTGGTGTATGCTCCCAAGGTTTATACTTAAGTAGTTGATATTTACAAAAAGCCCATAATGCTGATTTTGAGGATTTGATGAATAGTTTGGATATGTTTTAACAATTACTGGTCGTTTTCTTTTCTCTAGTTTTGAACCTTTATTAATATATGTAGATGTAAACTGTACAAAGTTGCATTCTAGTATACTTGGAAATGTTTTCATGTATTTCCTTCGCTCAGCATATATATCGAGCATGGATGGGGCAGTACAATATTCCTTATCTCTTACAATTTGAATTCTTCTTGAGCCATCTAGAGATGCATTTATTACTTCATAAGTAGCACTTACACACTTAAGAGAGAGTAAATGATGCATGACCTCTTGAATTGAATAGTCCCTTTGTCCTACAGATTTGATCATTATCTGCTTAAATGTGTTATGAATGTCACTTGTGTCTGAAAGCTTCTGAACAATAGTGGTGAATGCATTATTAACAACGGAAGATGCTTTTTCCCCTTTGGATGTGTACTTAACAAGATATTCTAAACATGCCTGGTAATCCACAATAATTTGGATATCACAATTTGCCCTCCATCCTTGAAGCTGCAATGGTTGATGACGATTTAATCTTGAGTCATTTCGTTTAGTAACAATAACTGCTTTATACTTTGGTTGACCTGATTTTGTATGGACAGGTTCAAAATCTATCCTTGTTTTTTTTACAGTTATCAAATGGAAAATTAAACCTGCAGCATAATTCGCAACTGTCTTTTTTCCCTAAGGCAATACTTAGTACTACACAACGTATGCCTTTGAACAGAATTCAATAGATTCACATAGTCATCTTCCATTTTCTTTCTTTTTAAGGAAAGATATGGTGTTTGACATGGATGAGAATTTGGCTTGGACCAACCTTCATCTGGAGAACAAGGATTCCATGTCGTTAATAAAAATTGACATATTGGCAAACAGTTGCCTCAGCATTTTCCCCCCTTTTCTCCTTATTTTTCAGTTCTTGTAGTTCTTCAATTGATATATTTGCTTGGTGTTCTTTGATATATTTTGATGCCAAAAACCCTGCAGTGCAACTGCTGTAAGTTCACAAAGCCCTGGATCATTCTGCAATTTTGCAACTCCGTGACAATGAATCGATCCCTCTGAACAGCATATTCATATCGGTACCAATACCAAGATGCCTGTAATGATTTATTCAGCCAAAACTTCACAAACCGATCAGTTCGCTCAGTGAAAAACCAGTCAATGAGATGTGGATTGTCAATAACATGTTTCTGTCTCAATTTTGGTGTGATATCTCCACAGTGGTCATTACTTAGAAGATTATGAAATTCTGGCCAATGGTACTCTGCACAAGACAAGGTAAAAAAAAATTGTAGGAGGTCCTACTTGAGCAACGGTAGCCCTTAAATCCTCTTTTGCTTTGTGCCAATAGCTATTGCTACCAGTTATATTTTTAGCATAATGCATAAGTTTAGACATTAAAGTTGAATGATTATTTGACTGAAGCATCTGTTTAAGTTGTTCCACAGTTAGTTTTGCATCGCTAGGGTTTTGTTTCAAAAAATACTCCCTTGACTAAGAAGTCTATGCCTCTGAATCATATTAAAAGCCCAATATGCAAATCGTGGATGGCTTGCAAACCTATAAGTCCACTCATCATTAGAATATTCAGCAAATTTAATTAGATGCTTTATTTTCTCTCCTAAAGTTGCACCCCGCTTTATAGCAGTGTTTGTAGGGTCTCCTTTAGCATCAGGAAATAGGGTGGGAAATGCCATTGTTGCTAGAAATTCGATCTTAAATTCATTCAGAGGGCTTGCGTCTCTGTGTGGCCAATTTAATTTATGCTTTTGCAATAACTGATCTGTAATAAGTTGCTTTTGAGGCTTTAAGGTTACTGGATTAAGGATTGTGCTGCTTAATTCTGTCTCTTCATTGAATGGTATTTCATTGACATCAAGTGGACCTCTGTCTGGATCCATTTCCTTATCTTTAGTATTCTCAATACAATCAATCTGATGCAGTTCACTTGGGATGCCTTCAGATGGCAAGGAAGACAAGCAGTCATAATCTATAGTAATATTTTTGTATACAGGGTTATGCTGGACTAACCAGTGTAGAGCACAGCTCACTTTTTCCCGCCTTACTGTAAGATCTTTATAAGTATTATCTTTGCCTTTGACTGACACAACTATCACAGGCAGCTCCCTCGGATACCTTGGCAATGAGTTAGCTAGCTCTTGAATATCTTGGGAAAAATTAATACAGTGGCCTTTGTATGCCTTTTGCCCCCCTGGTTTTGTATAAACAGATATTACTGGAAATACACGTGCTATAAGCATTTCTTCTAATTGTGTGAGTCCCTGCAGTTCTTTTGGTGCTTGTGAAGGTATCATATTATTGTCAACTGAAAACTTTTTGTTGCATTCTTGTCACGCAAACACCTAGAGCACACATATGTAGATTCATCTTTACATTTTTTCTGACAATGGCCATGCTTCATGGCAGATGTTGCATTTATAGATTTTGAATTTCAAAGAATTATGGAAATCTCGCATGTTTTTTTTTTTTAGCCCATTCCTGTAAATGAATTGGTCCATTTGTTTGACTATCAAACAAAGACAAATATTTTTCCTTCTCCACAAAACATTTAAATACATTTTGATCTGCTTGCATTTTAAAATCACTGTTAACACTTTTTGCATGATTTTCCATGATGTCTGTATTTTGTTTTTCTTCTCTAATAAGTTTTGCTTGCATTTTAAAATCACCATGAACACTTTTTTGCATGATCTTCTTTCATTACTGTATTTTTGTTCTTCTTCTCTTGAAATTGTTTTGCTACCAGTTGCAACGTCTTTCTTTCTGTTGTTGTATTCCTTCATGTATATATTTTGCTTTCGTCGTGTAGTAAGTTTCTCACTATGAAATTCATTGTTTTTCTTTCTCCTTCTGTACTCTTTCATGTAAGCATTTTTCTTCTGTTTTAGGCCAAGTTGTTTTTCACTTTTTTCATGATTTTCCTTCATGTTTGTATTTTGTTTTTCTTCCGTTGCAAATTTTTTGGTATCAGTTTCAATGTTTTTCTTTCTCCTGTTGTATTCCCTCATGTATATATTTTGCTTTCCTTGTCTAGCAAGCGTCTCACTTTGAGATTCATTATTTTTCTTTCTCCTTCTGTACTCTTTCATGTAAGCATTTTGCTTTTGTTTTTTGGCAAGTTGTTCTTCTGCAGTTTCATTACTTTTTCTTTTCTTTCGATATTCTTTCATGTATGCATTTTGTTTTGCTTGTGCAATGTGTTTGTTTGATGGCACTGTTAAAGTATCATTAATGAGTACTTTTGGCACTGAATGTCCTGTGAGGTATTCTTGGGTGTACTTAGATTGGTTCACAGCTGCATGTGCATTACCGCTATCAATGAATGGAATGGCAGACTTTTCATAGACAGCAAAATACCAGCCATTGGCATGGGCAATCAAGAGGTTTTGAAAAGTGGAATATTGCTGAATTGATCTGCAGATATCATCAAAATACAACCAATGTGTTCCTTTATTTATAGCGATAGTAAAATGTTGACTTGCAGAACGCACAACAGCTTTCAGTGAATAATAATTTTCTAAAACGTCCATAGTTAAAGGAAATGTAATTTGATCAATACAATTGGATGACAATTCAATAGTTAAAAATGTGGGAAGTGTTACAAAATGTCGCAATGCAGAAACATCACCACTGTGTTTTTGGCAAGATTCACAATAAAGAGCCCTACTGTGAGGAAGAACAGCTTCTGAAACATGATTTGCAAATTGCGTGGAAATGATATTTGGGCAGGTAATGTAAAGAACAAATATACCTGTCTTATATATGATTTGGTTGCCACATGATGCGCAACACGACTGATTGCATTGCTGAACAACAAACAATGACTTGAGGTCCTCACTTAACTCTCCGACAGTATTCAATGTAAATATGTCACTAAAAACAGCATTGGCAGTCATTGCAGAAAATGATGAACAATGATCTCTGAGCCATAACCACACAGGTTCTCGCACAATGTCAATAGCCCCAAGGTTTTCTCTTTGATTACATGACTCATAGATAACGTCAAAAACTCATTTCGTGTAGTGCTATGAAGATGATTACAAAAAACACCATAACACAGCTCGAGAAAACAATCAACTGCACAGGAAAATTTACCTGCATTGTTTAAACAATAATTACTGAAGTGATCTCTACCAAATGAATAGCTGTTTTCCTCACACATTTTTGCAGCTTCCAAGTTATTTATGTTTCCATTTAATATGTGTGCTTCTTTATTAGAAATTGCAAAGGGATTAAAACTACCATTAGAAGGATAAGGTATACGTCTAGACAAATATCTTCCTCGGAATCTGAAAATGGTTACATTTTGATATCCACGTGGAAAATTGAAATTAGTCTCACCACTATGGCCCTGATAATGACTTACGACTAATAACACACACAATAGACGAAGCATCATAAATTCTCGTGAGCTGTTACTTCAGTGCACGCGCTTCAGCAAGTGTACTTTGGACCTGAGCAGTTCTGATTTCAAACGAAGCTAAGCACCCTACAATTTTGGAATAAAAAAACTATCCAAACTGATTTGCTAAGCTCCCTCAAGCTTGACTGATAGTGGCTTCCCGGCAAACAGAGCTTAGACTGTTTTTTCACTTTCGGACACGCTAATGGATAAGCAGAAAAAAGCGCACAACTAACAGCGACACGCCATGTGTGACTCGTGTCTCGTTGGTCGATCAAAATTTGTAATTTTGAGCACTGAGCACACTAGCTCGATAAAAAGAGGCTTTATACGCCCTCTGATTGAGTTTATAGTGAATATATTCAAGTGGTTTTGTTTTTGTTTCTTAAATGGCACGCTGGCCGATCTGGTCAAGACAATTGACTGTTTTGGCAAGCTCGCCGTGATCAGACACTGTCACTTCGCCGTTTTCGAGCTGCTCTCGATAACTGCCTCGCTGGGCGATTTTAGCCTCGCTGGGCGATTTTTCAGTCTGCTAGTTGCTAGATTTGCGACCCCGGATCCAAAAAACACTTAATTAAAATGCACCCAAGAAGACAACGCTCACGAGTGAATAAAATCAATATTTCCACTCACCTTTTCCTGCCTGGTAATTGATCACCTCGCAAGTCGCACGATGCCCAACACGAACAGGAGATGCCGGGATACACCAGAAAATGCCCACGAGGTTAATGTGGTCATCTGATGTTGGTCATGTGGTCACCGGTCATGATCGTCCTGATGTGATTGGTTTAGATTAAAAAATACCACGATGCCATTGGCTAGCTCGAAAACAATGACCGATGATGTCACTCTTACATTACCTTATGCTTACATTTTGATTCGAGATTTTTTCTCCCTGTACCAAAACTAACTCGCGCGTCGGATTTATGATGCTGCCGCCTCGTCACCCTCGCGTCCTCGCGAGGGTGACTCGTTGGCAATAAGTCACAGTCAAACCTGCATTCAATAGGACCGAAATTGCTGTGAGGATTGAGAACATTACAACTGTGTGGAAAACTCCCAAGGGCGGTATACCACAAGGCACCAAGTTAGGAGTCATTTTGTTTACAATCATGACAAATAATTTATTGCGCTCACGGAACCTTAGAATAAAGTTTGTTGATGATACCACAGCCCTTGAAATAATCCCTAGGAACAGTGCCAGTCTACTCAATTTTGTTACAAATGATATCTATGCTTTTTCTGAAGATCACAGAATGAAATTGAACCCTACTAAATGCAAGGAGATGCTAATTAATTTTATGAGTAATCATAATTTTATTGTTAATCCTATTGTAATTGGTAGTAACACAATTGAGAGAGTCATGACATATAAGTTACTAGGCGTTTATGTAAGTAATGACCTGAAATGGAACCATCATGTAGAAGTTATAGAGCAACAGGGAAACAGGAGGCTTTACTCTTTAAGGGTCCTTAAGCAATGTGGTGCACCTCCAGTTTCACTGGCTAAGGTTTATACAACCATTGTTCGTCCTGTTCTAGAATATGCTGCCCCTGTCTGGCAAAATATACCAGATTTTCTATCTTATAGGATTGAGAGCATTCAGAAAAGGGCTATGCGCATCATTTTTCCTTTCATGAGTTACAACGAGGCATTAAATGCCCTTAACTTAACAACCCTAAGTGACGGACGCGTCCATCTATGCCAGGTTTATATTGATAGACTCCGGAATGAGAATCACCCCTTGCATTTGATGCTCCTCAAACAGGAGGAGGTTGTGCATAATTATAATCTTAGATCTGGCATTAGCCGCTCTATGCGTCCTACCTGTAGGACCAAGCGCACGCAAGAGTTTGTCACGCATAAGTATACCTAGTGGCTTGTACAATTATATTTTCTAGTATTTATTGGATTTATTGGATTATATTTTAGTATTATATGTTTTGTAAATAGCTCTGTAATTCAGCCATTCTGTATATTTCTGCAATGAGTCTTAATAAACAGTCATTATTATTATTTTAATTAAAATTAAAGTCGAACCTTTTGACAGATTTTGCTGAAACAAACCGTTAGTTCTCCCAAGAGGCACAGTAAACATGTGATGCTGACCAAAAGTTAAAAATTATAAGAGCACTAAAGTTCTGGCTAAAAGAAAAGTCCTGTAAAAGATGCGTTACAATGTTAGCCCACAGAAAAACAAGAACATCTACAATTTTCTGATAAACAAACTTTGTATCACTAAAATACTTAAGGGAACACCGTTCTATTCCAACTGATAACGGCGTGGTAGTCGCCCACTGCTCGTTATGAATCCACTCCCGAAATATGGCTAAATCAGCTATTCACAAATTATTGACAGAAGTCCTCTACGGCATGGAGAAACTAATTTACATCCGATTTAAGCAATGCATTCCATGAGAAATTTGCGGTTCTTGAAGAGGAATCAAGAGACGATTCGAGCGACCAACAACAACAAGCAGCCATGTTCGTGTCAGACATCCTTGAGAAACCTTCTCTTTCACCTCGTTCAGCGCATCAGTCTCCACTTAGAATCACCAGCAGCGACGACGCGCGAGGTTGTGAGGAAGTGGATCGTATTCGCGCCCTCGCAACGCATATTCTCGCAACTCGCGGGACTTCGCGGCTCAAATACTATCGCTTACGGATTTTCGAGCAAAAGAGAGACATCATGTAATATCTCACAGTGTCTTTTTCCTTTCAAAAACAAAAACAAAAAAACCTTTTCATTCAAGCACATGCATTATTAATTTTAAGCTGTATTGTAGCGGGGCTCCCACGCGCGCGAAGCGCGCGTGGGACAGAGCCCCATACCCATAGATTATGGTCAACCTCTTTTCCTTTGGTTGTCACGTGATTGACCGAGCGTACGCGTCTACGGATTGTACGGGTGGGGTAGGGGAGGCTATCAAAAGGAAGGGAGGGGTGTCTCAGGCGTGTCTTGCCAAGTCCACATCTTTTACATTGGACATTCCCAATATGGTCAATTGACAGCTGTCAAAACAGGATAGCCACTGACCATTATCCCATAATCATATCGCGGGCTCATGTGTCAACTCATTGAGGTGACGTGATTTATTTGGAAGCTGTCCGCTGACCAGTTAATTATTTTACTAGATCGCGATCAATGTTCAGTCTCATACTTTCTAGCTAGTTTGGGATCGGAGCACAGGAAAACTGATACACGTCAATGTTGTGATCCATTGACAGCTGTCAAAACAAGGTATTCGCTGACCAGTATCACTTGACTGTATCGCGGGCTCAGGTGTCGACCCATCGAGGTCAAGTGTTTTTTTGAAGTTATCCGCTGACAAGGTACTGGTTTTCAAATGATCGCAGGCTCAAGTTTAATTTTTTTAAAAATTCATATGAAATGTGTTGTGTTTATGTGCCGCACAATTAAAATTTTGATTTCAAACTGACCTCGGACGCGAAACTTCAGCCAGCTGCTACAGGCAGGGAAGACAGTTGCTTTTGACTTTTCACGCCATGTTCACGCGTTGGTCACGCTCTACGTCCAATTTTTATGCTCTGCTTGGTCAAAAATTCACATAGTGTATGAGCCAGGACCTCAAAAATGGTCGATTGGTACCATTCAAACGGACAAAGACTTATGCCTATTAAAACGTAGGTTATTAACCCAAGTTTTTATTTTTGTGTGATAGCACTGCACAAAGTGTCATCTTTAAGCGTTACATTCCGCTTTTCTTACCCCTACCCCCCTAAGAGGGCTTTTACTCACTTAGACTACTGAACATAAAGAAAAGCATTTACAAGTATGTTATGATCCATACAATGGCCAATTTATATGCAAGTCACACGTTATTGACTTAACAATCACTCTTAACCACCAAATACACGTCATAGTGATCACGTGGTAGGTCGAATTGCCATAAAATGCCAAATATACCGAACTTATGTTTTCAGATTGGCAAAAAGATGAAATATGTACCTTCCGAAGTATTTTAAAAGTTATCTCAATGGTTCGACTTTACATTTAACGTTCAATTGTGCAAGCTGATGCAAATTCCTGTCTAAAAAATAATATTTTGCCGTAATATTCATTTTTAAACACTCGTTCCCAGTCTCCCAGACTCGCGGCTCAAGCTATTTTTGTTATTGCTGCTTACGATATTGTTAAAAAAACTTCAATTTTTACTAACTGAAGTATATTTTTCTGGGAAGAAAACTCATCTTCATGCAAAAAAGCGCATTTTTCTTTATTTGAAGAAACTTTCCTTTTAAGTTTTAGCTACTGCGGCATGCATTCCTATTGAAAATGGAAGTTGCTGTTTCTCTAACAACTTCCCAGAATATTTGCAATCTACAAAGTCCATTAAAAGTCATCATCATCATCTTCGTCTGCTTCATTATCAATAATGTTTGATGAATCGTCTTGAGCTGGCTGGCTGGTGCAGTCGTTTAGCGAGCAGAGATCCGTGCACTTCAAACCACTGTTCATGCAAACACAACGTGGGAGTTCACAGGTCTTCTTACATTTACACGCCAGCAGTTCCAGGGCAGCAGAAGGAGCTGGCTGCCCGTCCATCCAGTCGATCACTAGTTCAGTGGATGCAGCGTCAGTGGAGGTCTGTGTTATCCACCCCATACCATCTGGACTGGGAATGTCTGGGTTAGCCTCCAGGCTCCGTCTCCATAAAGCTGCAGGAGTGATGTAATACTAAATTAGTTGTTATCCTCATCAAATTTCCTGTGACAAATATTTAATAGAAACAGGCGTTGTCAACTAACCTGCTTGGTAGTTTGCACGAAGAATGTGTTTCCGAAGGGAGTCCTGGCAAGGAGGTAGCTGGTGTGACTCCAGTTCGCCAGTCTTTGCACAGAACAGTTTGTATCGTGCATCATTCACGTGGCTGGTTGTGTTGCCGACTGGTATGTACATGGAGCAGGTGCACTTTTCAAGCGAAGTGTAAAGGTCCTCTGATACTGTCCAGGACTGGCCAAGCTCTCGGAACGCTCTTCTTGCGCCTTCATTGCTTTTAAGGATTTTAAGAGCCCCTATCTTTCCTTTACCAGCAAAAGCACTTACTGAATCACACCCTGTAAAAGAATGTAACCCAATCAGTGCCTCGCATATCTCTCGCCTGGTTCTCTGAACTGCTCCTTTGATGTCGACAAGTCGCGTCCTCGTTCTGGAACTGCACTTCATATAGAGTCTAGTGTTGATAATGCTTGATAAGTTCAAAAGCAAGACAAACACGTCTTTGTCTTCTGAGATCACTGCGACTGCTTCATACCCCTCCTGGGCAGCATGTTTAGCGTGAAGCAGTAGACGAGTGTCAGCTTCCTCCTGGTTACTTGTCAGCTCTGCCACATTCTCGCTTCCCTTTTCAGTTATCTTCCAGCATTCGCTCTCAGCAGTAACAAACAATGTTTTTCCTTTCAGCCTTCTCATGCAGTCTTCTTCTCTCCATTCTCTGGAAATGAACTTGATTAGACTTGTCTTGTTCTTGACCTCCGACAGGAACTTTCTCCACTGCTTGACCAGCTGAGTAGAACTTATATGTGACAGTTGAACTCCCGCAACTTCTCCACGCATGGTTCTCTCTGCGTTCTTAATTGACATATCTCTGTATGTATCGAAAACCACGTCCATTCTGTTGCTCTGGGAGCCTTCGTGAAGAACTTTTGTTAGAAGAGAAGAAGCAACCATTGCGAAGGTTGTCTGTCCTCCACCAACGCTCAACTTCTGAACTAGACTCATACCGTCGATAATAGCTAACAGCTAACGGTACATCCTTTTGGAGGGGAGTCGCTAGCGCTGCTTTGTTTGTTTTTTGAGGAAACCCTTCTGTAGTTGCTAAAGACCACGGCAATGGCCCCAAGCTGTACTGTAGCAGTTCTCTCACATCAATCTTCTGGCTCTGACCAATGATTATGATCCGCCCAAAAAGAGACCTATCGGCTTTCAAGACCATCGTCCTGCCGTCAGTGGAAACCTTTTTCTTCTGACTAAGGGAAGAAAAGATTTTCAGTTTGTTCAACTTCATTGTGTCATGAAATTTCTTCTGTGGTGGAGACGATTCCAGACGTTGCTCTTTGAACACTTGATAGGCCTCTTCGCCGACTTTTCGAGCGTTCAAAAGGTCTCTGGTTACATTTCCAGCGCTTGTTTGGCAGTTGATGAACTCACAAGCTCTTTCCTCTCTGTGAAGGGATTGTTCCAGCCTTCAATCAGACTCTCTATTGTTGTTACTGCTTGCTCGTCTTTGCTTTTCCTGGTAGACAGCATTTCGTCATGATGATAGGATGGGCCCTTGACTTGGACCATGTCTCTCAAATGAGCAACAAAGGAGCATCGGTACTCAGCTGTCATGCAGAATCTAGTCACCGCTCCTGTCTTTAGACTATACTTGGTAATGCCCCCACTTGACTTCGTGTCCTTGTTGACAGTGACTTCCGTGGTCTGGTCTACAGGGATGTGCCCAAAAGGGCTTTCTCCAGCAAGTTGAATGGAAAATCTTCCATTCATGAAGTTGGAATACACGTTTGGGTGTTCGGAGGGGAGATTTATCATCTGAGTGTAGTAGACAGGTAGATACCTAGCATAGTTTATTTTGTCGTACGCGAAGCACCACGGGATCATATTACGAATGGCGTAGAGATGTAGCTGCCAGTTACCTTCACGAGATGCTCGAATCAATCCAAGTAGTACATCACCGACAATGTCAATGTACGAAATCCAAAAGCAGGACAGTGGGCCATTCTCAGAGCGCAAGTATTGCATCCAAATCAGGTGAATTTCTTTGAAAGGATCACTGTTCAAAATACTTTCACACTGTCGGAGTTCTACTTCACTGACCATGTCGCTGACCTTGACTTGAAGGACACGTAGTTTACCCACTTTGTCTGCATGGTTAACAGTTAGCCATGGCACAAACTGCTTCCATACGAGTCGCATAAGAGCTTCCACGGGACGAAAAATTGGATTTACTGCAGTTTTGACGCGCGTCAAAAGTTAAGTCAAATATGGTATCGGCTTTGACATCACCTTTGACGTGCGTTAAAGATACAGGCAAATATATAACCTATTTGCTTACTCCTTTGACCTTGGTAAATGCGAAGTCAAATGATTAACAACTTTGACTTCACTTTTGACGCGCGTCAAAGGTGAAGTCAAATGAATCAACACTTTGCTATTCTTTTAACGTGTCAAAGGTGTGACAAATATGCTGGTAACTTTGACTTTACCTTTGACGCACATGAAAAAGGTAAAGTCAAATGCGTGAACGTTGTGCTATTCCTTTAACACTCGTCAAAGGTGTTGTCAAATATGCCGGTAACTTTGACTTCACTTTTGACGCACGTCAAAGATGAAGTCAAACGTGGTGGCTGCGCTATACTTTTAGTGGTTTTTAAAGATGAAGCTGAATACGAAATTTTCACTTTGACAACACTTTTGAATGCTATCAAAGGAGACAACAAAAATGCAATGAATTTCGGACTTATTTCTAAGGTTTGTTATCAAGCGACGGCAAAAACAGCTTTTACGTTCTGACTGAGTGTATCGGTGGGCATTCGCTTCGGTTCTTCTTAATTAGAACTAGGTAATTTTAAAAACGCCTTGGATCTACAGTAATGTAATTATAATCCGTGCAGCGTTCATATGAAAATTTAAGTTTTCGTGCTTAAACTTATTGAAGTTTTAAAGCCGAACATATAATTCACGAAACAATATAGAGTATCACAAAACAAGAAAATTTATATTTTTTAATATAAGGATGAAAATAATTAGAACTTAATTGGAAGTGCAACATTTCTGCTCAGTAAATCACTTTTGTTTTTCATTCAGAATTTGCTGAAGGTAAGAAGCGTTTCCATTACCACTTTTTGACAAACCGGCTACTGGATCAACGAAATGTATATTGATGCTGACTAAAATCCTGTATCTGGGCAGCTAAATTGAGCGACTTTATGAAAATGTATGTGATGAAATGTAAAAAGAAAAATGTGTCGTGCCCAATTTGGTCTGAAATCATACTTGTGATTTCAAATCAAACTAGCGCGGATTTTGAAATGACGAGTATGATGTCCGAAAAATTACCCTGCACTTAGTTCGATTACCATTATAATTAAATTGAGGAAATACGACGAATGCCCTTAATTTGAGTAGGTTACATAATGTATATGTTTTACTTGAATTTCTAGAAGCTTGGCTTAAATCAACGTCAGGTTACTTTCCTTATCTGCTTTAAACTCGCTATCATAAAGTGTAAGTCACAATGCGATTTTAGGTGGCAAACAAGATTGTAGATGTTCAAGTGATGAATAGCACCATTCTGACTTTTTTTTTCAAGTGAAGTTGATTCAATCTTAAACGAAATTGCAAGCGCAGTACTATACATCTTACCCAACAGCGAAAAGAAAATGTACGTTTATTTTTGAAACTTTGTGGCAAAAAAATGTTGTCGAACAAATAGATCACACCTATTCCTCGACCTGTATGAAGCCAAAATCGCAGAACGCACCCCTACACGAGTGACACTGGCACTAGTGATTTTCCCCGGGAGCAGTGTGATTTAGAAACCAAGTACGCGACTGAAAAGCCAAGGGACAGACTGAGAAAAGTAATGCCATAAAGAAACCTCTGCTTACAGGGTATAGTGTCTAATTTTGGTTTGTGCTATTGCTGTGTTTAAGGATGCGGCAGAACCTAAACGCAAGTAAAAGCGCATGCACACGGGAGGGCAAAAACATGAACTCGTGTATGCATTCACACTATTTTACGGTGAGGTAAGCACCCTTGTGCTCGCGCCGTCGTTGCTAGTGCAACGTGAGCCTACGTGCAGTCGCCTACTATAAAAACAAAAAGGTATATTTGCACTCAGAGGCTACGTAACTTTTCAACCACTTATTAAATCGTCAATTTGTGACCGTATCATTACACTTTATTACACTCTACTCTTTTATGCAACGACGTACTACGCTGACCTTAAAACACTTTTTATTAAAGCAAAACAGATTTACGTGACAGCTAAATGGCTAAAATATAGAAACTTCCAACAAAGTTAAAGGCAATTATTTCTTTATTAGCCAAGTAAGGAAAACGTTCCCAATGAAAACACCAAAAATTATTAAAGACGGTCAATTTTCAAAACGAATTAATACTCAAGTCAAAAGATAAATTTTGTTGAAGTTTATATATATTTTAAACTGGAAAGAGCGTGGCCCTCAAATGTCGTAGCCGTCCAGAACTTGCGGAGTAATAATTCGCAATATTGATCTGCACAGGAAGTTCATCAAATGGATCTGCAAGTTAAAAATCCCTGTTAAATATAAAACTATCCTCGCATGCCCTCAAACAGAAAAGGCATAAAATCAAAGACAACAAATAACTGAATTTTTTTAGCTAATATAAATATCGACGAATAGCATTCATCCGCAAATAATAATAATGGTCAAAGAATTTTCTTTTTGGCTTTTTCTGTTGTTGTATGTTTGACGGCAACGTCTGTGACATCAAATGTGATTTAGCTTGGGTTACATCACAGTAATAGGCATTCAAAAACCTCATCACAGAAAGTACGGCACACCTGTATCGCAGTTGTGCTATAGAACGTCAAATATCAACGTTTTCGGAAAGCCTGCGAAATTTCAAGATAAAATCCGCCTTGCGCAGGCTTGAGTCAAGTCTTCTATCATTAAACCTTTAAGGTAATATTTTTTACCTAATTTTTCAAAGGTACATAAACAATCGCGAAGTTCTGACAGAATAAAGAGTTTAAGCAACAAGGACGGTGACGGCTACGAAAACGTGACTAAAAAAGTGTTGTCGCGCTGCTTCAAACGTTATCGCGCTTATTCCATCTCATTCTATTTGTCGAATGTTGGCAATCTCTCCAACAGTTGAATTCTGAAAAGACTGTATCGAAGTTTAGGATAAGGAAAAGAAAGTCGTTGACTTGTGTTCACGTCCTCTACAAAACATGAAATAGGACATTTTCACGTAGTGGTGTAGTGATGGCAAAGAAATGTACAGAAAAGCATGCTGCACATGCAAAGTTGTTGTTTTGCCAATCTAAACCTCTTCCTCTTTTGACGTTCTCGTTGCAGGTGTCGTCGCTTAAGCTCCCTATTACAAGTAACGGTTACGATTACAATTGTGTACACGCGGTAGGCTTGAGGCGACAAATCCGACAACGTTAATTGAAATAACTGTTTAACCAAGAGACTTTTCTTTTGAAAAAAAATTTTGATTTCTTTCTTATTAAACGTATTAATTTAACAAGGGCTACGTACTACAAGGACTACATGAGAGATCCTTACCCTAATTAAGCCAAACTGTTGTTTGGCAATTGCACAACCCCACCCCACCCCACCCAAACCCACTCATAAAATATTTGATCAGTTCTAAACAATCTAACCTTGGTTTTCTTGACACACTGAAGGACATAGTAAGAATTTGATACTGGTTTGGTGTTGTAACACCACCAACTTCCTCGTCTGCCTGGGACAAGTAGTGTGTTAAAAGTCCCGTAGACGGACGAATTAGTCCCAAAAGGGCGCAATGACAAAATATAAAAATTTCAATGCAATAATAAATACCGAGAATACGAAATGCTATGTTGTATTCAAATTGAAGCACAATGCAATTGGCCTTTTGCATTAGTTGATCACGTGATGATTTTTCGATGAACTCGAAAACAGTTTGCATTTGAAACATTTTGTTAGCAGGAACTGAAAGAGCATATTGAAATTTGGTGACCTGTACATTTTCAGCCGTATATCTCAAAAGTAGCGATTGCAACACCCTTGAATGGTTTTCCATATCAATCATTGTAAATTTCGAAATTTTCAAACTGTCGTGATTATTTCTTTAAGCATTACGGGGCTCAAATCCCCTTTTAGTTCATAACAGGCACTTTGAGCCCTTAAATTCGAAGGGGAAATATTTAACGACAGTTTAAAAATTTCAGAACTATCAAGGAGTTGTATGGAAAACCACTCAAGTGTGACTGGGCAGCAAGAGTTGTTTTTTCTCATACAAACCCCTCTAATTTTCTGCGGCCGTTGCAATCGCTACTTTTGAGATATACGGCTGAAAAATTTACAGGTTACCTAATTTTAATATGCTCTTTCAGCTCGCGCTAACAAAATTGTACAAACGCGAACTGTTTTCGTCTTTACCGAAAGTTGATCACGTGATCAACTAATGCAAAAAGGCCTATTAGAAAACTTGTATCGATGAATCACTACCTCAGAAAAAAGCGCGAACTGTTCCTCTCTCTCTCTTGTAGCCCATCTTGGGAAATGCAGCGCCATATTAAGTTCCCCGATGCCACCACCTCAGCGTCCAGACGTTGTGAAATGTGTGTTAAAGTAACGGCAATGGCCACATTCAATCCCTGCTATCTCCCGACAGGTCACTTTGTTAGGGACGGGATTTCAACTAACTGAAGTATAAAATGCTACGATTTGCTAACAAAATGCTATTTTTCGACCAATTGGACACACGATAATAACGTTTTCTCCTTTGACTTTGTCAAACACAGGGACGAACTTTGACTGAATCCGTTGAACGGGAATAAAAGAGGCCGGCCCCAGTTGTTCAAAAAGGTCTTTGCAGCAGACTTGCAAAGGCTCCCCAAAGTAATTCCTATCTGGATGGGATTGATACCACAGAACATAAGCAAGCAAATACGTCCTATACTCCCCATCTACTAAAACGTTTTGCCTAATGTAGAAGGAAACTTTGCCTGGCCTTGGCTGTGCTGAACTGATATCAATGCGTCCTCCGTCAGAAACCCATGACGCAATAATATAAGATAAACGAACCATCCTTGAAGTTGATGAGCCGTATCGTTCTCCTCCGACCAGAACCGACGAAAACCGTTCAAAGTTTCCAAAAATGCTTCCTTCCTCTACATTCTCAGATATAAGCTTATACATTTCCTTAAGGTGGGCGTACTTCGTGTGACTCTAAACAATCAAGACAAGATGGCGGAAAGCATGAGTAAAGAGACTTCTGCACTGGACTTCTGCACTGGACCACTGCAAAGCGGCACAAGGTGACGAAAGGATTCCTCTTGTTGCACTTCTACTTCCGCTAGTGTTCCTGCCTGGCAGCCCTGCACAGAGTCTAGTAGGGGCAGAAAATCGTCTCGAAAAGTATACGACAAATCAACCCCAAACGCAGACTGGTCCCTCAAAAATTTACGCGCAAGTTGAATTTCAATCGATCTGTTGTTGGTCGGAAAAGAGCCGATAATGCCGTTGTATTGCTCGAACGAGAAGAGCCAGAATGCATAAATGGGTCCAAAGTCACAGACGGACTCACAAAGATGGGTATGCATGTTTGGCGTGATTAGGTCTTTCCCATACAACTGTTCAAAATCTACACAAAATTTCTTTAAGAGAGTATTTGCTCTTTCCGTGTCGGTAACCGTTAAAACGGGGCTACAAAGAATCTTGCACACAAGCACAAAGGATCTCCACACCTCAAGGTGGTTAATGGGAAGCTCTCCCCTTAAGGCATACAAAGACACAGTTAGAGTTCACGTTTTCCACTGATCGGCCGTAAATCCCCCAAAGCTGATGGAAATTTTATTGGGGAGCCTACCAAGTGAGGATCGCAATTCCACTTGGTCGACCCTCTGTTGAATTAACTTCAGCTTAGCGTCTGATAGCAATGGTTTTGTGTGATTTAACCAAACGTTTTCCATTACGTTCTTTGCAGTGCCGAGGAAAAGATTGTGCATTGGATCTATTACTGTAAAACGTACACAGTTAAAGTAGGGGAGGCGCATAAGCTCGGAGTAACGAGTCCCATACTTGCTCTCTAACTGCTGTTTATCTTTCATTGAAGTTTGCTGTAGAGTTTCCTCCGCTTCTCTCCGGTGCTCTTCGTTCGTTCTTTTCTCGCATGGGTCAAAACCGGAATAGTCCCTCTTCTCCCCAAACCCACCTTCAAAAGTTTTCTTACATCTGCTGCACCCTTTCCTGGCTGCAAAACTGAGGAAACCACTAACCTAACACGAAAAGATCAGTAAAAAAACGTATTTTACATGAAGAGAGCTAGCCATCAGATGCGACCCAACAGACTTGATGATTTCGCGTATCCCAACCAGTTGCTGAAATACAAGGGCGTTTCATCTGGTTGTAAAGAGGTAAAAATTTACATATGTCCGCCTTACCACAGGCGGCCGGTCATGGGCAGGAGATGGCTAACTGCTATGTATGCGTATTTTTTGAGCAACCGAAAGATGTTTGCCTGCATTCATACTTGCGTTGCAATTAGTATCTTTTAAATTCCAGTATAAAAGGGACTTTGAGGGGAGTTTAAATAGCAACCCTTAATTAGGTTAGGCGGAGCAAACTCCTGCAATGCATGCTAGGAAAGGGAAACTGACCAAAGATACTAGAAGTAATCAGCTAACGATTCAATTTAATTAGATACCTTTCTCGCAGCCGGTAGATCTGAAGCAACACACAAACGAACACCTTTCACGATTTCGTCATTGACATTCCAGCCGTCCCATAATACGAGAAGCTCGTCTACTAAAGGGGAGAGATAACTGTTAATGGTTCCAGATGGCTCGTGTTTCAAAAGGTATCCACCGTTAAGTTCCCCGCAAGTCGCCCTATACCTTCTTTGTCTGTGATTAGGAAAAGGTCGATGCGAACATCTCTTTGACAGTCTTTGGCTACCAATGGTCACAAAACAATCGGTGAAAGTGTAAAATGAGTGGCAGTGCGGGCAAACAATATACTTTGTAAAGCTATCACCACATAGCCCTAGTGTCTTACGAAGAAGATAAACTGAGGTTGGCAATAAAAGGACAACTGGTGCAAACCAAGGAACATAACGTACGATCACAGTAAACAGCACGTGTATAAACTGAAGCATTAGGGCTACGGCGTTGTCGGACACATGAAAATGAGCTGTCCAAAACAACAAAAACAAACAAGCCCACTTCACAAGGGCAAACTGTTTGACATAGGCGTTAGCATTTACGTCAACATCAATCGATAGGCGGCGGGAATCATCCGGGTTGTCTTCGTTGACGTCTGCTAAAACGTCATCCAAAGCATCTTCCCAAAACTCCACCCTAGATCTGTTGGGATCAACCTCCATATACTCGACTGCTTCGTTTTCTTGTTCAAGAACATCATTGGAACCGTGTTCATTTAGCTCATACATTTCTACCGGTTCAGAGTGTTCTTCTCTTGGTGACTCTTCATCTGACGAGGACAGATTTTCGCCATCCCACGAAGCATTATTTGTGTTAAAGTATGAGCCCTTGTGTCTCCGAAAGGTTCGAGGAGCTACATATTCACCACAATGAGGACAAAAAATAGATTTCTCTTTCATCGCAAAATACGTTGTCTTTTTACTCAACCGAAAAGAAGTCAAAAATAACGGTCAGCATTAAAAAACGCAGCCTTGCTCTCGAGGTCTAAGGGAAGAAGAGAAATCCTGCAAACTAGTCAAGCAACTCCTTTTATGGAAAGCCATGGAAACCAAGCTTACGTGAAAAAAGCGGGAAATGTACACAGTCCGCCCTGCTAAACTGGACTCCAAACACTACAACTTTATCTTTTGGCGCTGCGTGGTTCAACAAAAATCTCTCAGTAAGGTATCTTTACTTTAGTTTTCTCGCTTTCAAGATGCTTTCTGGAAGAACAGGTAATGCTCAGGTGGCGTGACCACTTTCTTTCGAGAGGCAAGACGAAGACGGTATTGCAAACTTACTACAAACAATTCAAAGACAAAATAACCAGATAATAGAAAAGTTAGGGACAGGTCAAGACAACGAAGGGCGAGCGGGTCAGAACAGAAGAAAACAAGTGCCAGTAAAAGTAGAGGTGAGAGTTGCTTTTGGTGAGCTTTTTAACTAACAGTTGACTACGAAACCCGACCATTAAACAGTAAGCTTCAGCTTAGGCCGCCTGTTGACTTGGTGTTCTTCATTTCGTTCCTTTTTTTGGCCGATAAATGGGTAGGCTTATGTGAGCTATTCGCCTAACAATATCAACAAGTGATTTCTTTTTACTTTGAATGAAAAAGTGACTGATAACATTTTACTTAAGCAATTTGAGAAGAAAACGCTGTGAATGAAACAATTTTCAATTCAAGCTGGCAGTTTTTATTGGCTATAAAACAAAGACTAAATTTCCCGCCATTTTTACGGCAATTAAATTAATTATAATGAAAGAATACATAATACATCAACCTCACCTTATTATAAATAATGTTGTGACTCATAGGTCCTAAGGGACTGGTCAAAAAGTATAGGGGGGGGGGGGCGCGGAGCATTTGGAAATGTGGTTGATAAAAAACACATGACCCACCCCTTCCCTTCCGCACAAAAATGACTGACCCACCCCTAAAGCAAGGTTGGAAATTGAATGACCCACCCCCTAGACATATATTGAAACAACAACTCTAAGCAAAACCTTCCTTTAGAACAACAGTTTGGAAATGCTACATACACGATGTCTTTTCCCTATGGGACATGAGTAAACCAGACATCGAAGCCTTCATGGAACAAGCAAACTTACATCACCCAACTATTAAATTCATGGCCGAAACATTTGACACTGAGATGCAGCGTTTTTAGACACGGTTGAATACAAAGGCACAAGATTAAAAAAAACTCTATCCTTGATGCAAAGACACATTTTAAACAAACAGAAACCTTCTTGCACACACATTTCACCTCATGTCACCTTCCAAGTGTTAAAAAAGGATTTGTCAAAGGAGAAGCCTTGAGAATCCTACGAAAAAACTCCTCAGAAACAACCTTTGAGGAAAATATTTCAAAAAACGCTTGATGGACGGAGGCTACCCACAAACTTTGATAGAAGACCTACTATCAGAAATAAAATTCACAAAAACGAGTCTAAACTCCTAAAACAAAACCTACAAGGAGGAAAAAGATTTATTGCCATTTGTGACACAATACCAACCCTCAGTGTCTAATATAAAGGAAGCTTGAGTAATAAAAATGGAATCTTATACAAAGCCAACCATAACTTTAATAAATTTTTAAAGAACCACCAATCATTTCCTTAAAAAAAGGGAAAATCATTAAAGGACATGCTCGTTAGAGCCCCCCCCAAAAAAAAGGTTTAATAAGAAAGGGTTCACGGGATGTGCGGTCTGTCACCCGTTGCATTTTCTCGCACAACAGGTTTGTGAGTATTTTAGGAATAATTCCAGCTGGCTATGGTTTATATAACAAGTGTGGTCAACTGTCTCGTTAGTAGTTAGTGCTTATCTATGTAATAAAATAGAGTGACCCACCCCCTAAGGGTAGCTGCAAATTGCAAGACCCACCCCTTGCACAAGGCTCAAAACCTCATAACCCACCCGCTCTCTGC